TAGCTTGAAATCAAGGATGGTGATACCTCTGGAAGTTCTTTTATTGTACAGGATTGTTTTAGCTATCCTGATTTGTTTGTTTGTTTGTTTGTTTTCATATGAAGTTGAGTATTGTTCTTTCAAGGTCTGTATAGAATTGGGTTGGAATTTTGATGGGAATTGTGTTCAACCTGTAGATTGCTTTTGGTAGGATGGCCATTTTACTATTGTTAATCCTTCTGATCTATGAGCATGGGAGATCTTTCTATCTTCTGATATCTTCTTCAGTTTCTTTCTTCAAGGACTTGAAGTTCTTGTCATACGAGTCTTTCACTTGCTTGGTTAGAGTTACCCCAAGATATTTTATATTATTTGTGGTTATTGTGAAGGATGTTGTTTCCCTGATTTCTTGGTTCTTTTGTCATCTGTGTATAGAAAGGCTACTGATATTTTTCTTTTTTCTCTTTTTTTTGTTTTTCGAGACAGAGTTTCTCTGTAGTTTTGGTGCCTTTCCTGGCTGGCCTTGAACTCACAGGGATCCTCTTGGCTCTGCCTCCCGAGTGCTGGTATTAAAGGCATGTGCCACCACAGCCTGGCTCTGATTTTTTTCTTTTTAGTTAATCTTGTATCCAGCAACTTCACTATAGGTGTTTGTCAGCTGCAGGAGTTCCCTGGTAGAATTTTTGGGGTCACTTATTGTCTTAGGTTTTCTAGTGCTATGAGGAGACGACATGACCATGGCAACTCTAATGAAGGAAAACATTTGAGACTGGCTTACAGTCTCAGAGGTTTAGTCCATTATTGTCATGGTGGGAAGCAAGGCAGCATGCAAGCAGACGTGGTGCTGGAGAGGTAGCTAAGAGTTCTACATCTTGATCTGCAGGTAACAGGAAGTGAATGGTCACACTGGGCGTGGCTTGAGCCTGTATGAGAACTCAAAGCCCACTTCCATAGTGACACACTTCCTCCAACAAGGCCACACCTACTCCAATAAGGCAATACCTCCTAATAGTGCTATTTCCTATAGGCCAAGCATTCAAACACATGAGTCTATGGGGGCCGTATCTATTCAAACTACCACACTTATGTATACTATCATATCATCTGCAAATAACAATACTTTGATTTCTTCCTTTCCAATTTGTATTCCCTTGATCTCCTTCATTTGTCTTATTGCTTCAGCTAGAACTTCAGGTACTATATTGAATAGATATGGAGAGAGTGGACAGCCTCGTCTGGTCCTTGATTTTAGTGGAATTGCTTTGAGTTTCTCTCCGTTTTTTTGTTTTTTGGTTTTTTTTTTTATGTTGGTTGTCAGCTTGCTGTAAATTGCCTTTATTATGTTAGGTATGTCCTTTTATCCCTGATCTTCCCAAGACTTTTATCGTGAAGAGGTGTTGGATTTTGTCAAAGGCTTTTTCAGCATCTAATGAGATGATCATGTGTTTTTTTTTCTTTAAATTTGTTTATATGGTGGATTACAGTGATTGATTTTCTTTTTTTTTTCCCTTCGGTTTTTTGAGACAGGGTTTCTCTGTGTAGCTTTGCGCCTTTCCTGGAACTCACTTGGTAGTCCAGGCTGGCCTTGAACTCACAGAGATCCGCCTGGCTCTGCCTCCCGAGTGCTGGGATTAAAGGCGTGCGCCACCACCGCCCGGCACAGTGATTGATTTTCATATGTTGAACCATCCCTGGATCTCTGGGATGAAGCCTACTTGATCATTGTGGATGATCTTTTTGATATGTTCTTGGATTTTATTTGCAAGTATTTTATTGAGCATTGAGGTGTTTTTTGTTTGTTTTTTTTTTTACATCTATGTTCATGAGGGAAATTGGTCTATAATTCTCATTCTTTGTTGAATCTTTGTGTGGTTTGGGTATCAGGGTGACTGCGGCCTGATAAAATGAATTTGACATTGTTCCTTCTGTTTCTGTTTTGTGTAATAACTTGAGAAGTATTGGCATTTGCTCTGCTTTGAAAGTTTGATAGAATTGTGCACTAAAATTGTCTGGTTGTGGGGTTTTTTTGTTGCTGTTGTTAGGAGACTTTTAATGACTGCTTCTATTTCCTTAGGGGTTACAGATCTGTTTAAATTGTTTATATGATCTTGGTTTAACTTTGGTAAGTAATATCTATTGAGAAAATTATCCATTTCTTTTGGATTTTTCAATTTTGTGGAATACAGGTTTTCAGTTTTGTTTTTCCCTTTAAAAAAAACTTCTATTCTTCTCTCATACATTATATCCCAACTGCAGGTTTCCCCTCCCTCAACTCCTCCCAGTCCCTTCTCCCACCTCCCAGAGAACATGTTTTTAAATATGACGCAATGATTCTTTGGATTTCCTCAGAGTCTGTTGTTATGTCCCCTTTTAGTTTCTGATTTTGTTAATTTGGATATCCTCTCTGTGTCTTTTAGTTAGTTTGGATAAGGGTTTGTTAAATTGCTACTATGAGATTTCTCCAATTTCTTTATGTAGGCACTTAGTGCTATGAACTTTCCTCTTAACACTGCTTTCGTTGTGTCCCGTAAATTTGGGTGTGTTGTGCATTCATTTTCATTGATTTCTAGGAAGATTTTAATTTCTTCCTTTCTTTCTGCTTTGACCCAGTGTTCATTCAGTAGAGATTTGTTCAGTTTCCATGAGTTTGTAGACTTTCTGTTGTTTCTGTTGTTGATGAAATCCAACTTTAATCCATGGTGGTCTGATAGGATGCAGGGTTTATTTCAATTTTCTTGTATCTGTTGAGACTTGCTTTGTTACCAAGTATGTGGTCAATTTTGGAGAATGTTCCATGAAGTGCTGAGAAGAAGGTGTATTCTTTTGTGTTTGGGTGGAATGCTCTGTAGATTCTGATAGGCCCATTTGGTTCATAATGTCTGTTAGCTCCATTATTTCTCTGTTTAGTTTTTGTCTGGATGACCTGTCCATTGATGAGTAAGATATTGAAGTCTCTCACTATCCATGTATGAGGGTCTAAGTGTGATTTAAACTTTAATAGTGTTTCCTTTACAAATGTAGGTGCCCTTGCATTGGGGGCATGGATATTAGGAATTGAAAGATCATTTTGGTAGATTTTTCCTTTCCCATCTATTTTTATTATTTTTGGTTTGAAGTCTATTTTGTTAGATATTAGAATGGCTACACCAACTTGCTTCCATTTGCTTTGAAAATCTTTTTCCAACCCTTTACTCTGAGGTAATGTCCATCTTTGATGTTGAAGTGTGTTTCTTGTATGTAGGATGGATTCTGTTTTCACATCTATTCTGTTAGTCTGTGTCTTTTTATTGGAGAATTGAGTCCATTGATACTGAGAGATATCAATGACCAATGATGATTGTTATTTCTGTTATTTTGTTGTTGTTGGTGGTGGTGGTAGTGGTGGTAGTATATGCGCGTGCGCATCCCTTCTTTTGATTTTGCTAGTGTGAGATTATTTCCTGTGTTTTCATGTGTGTAGTTAACCTCCTTGAGTCTGAGTTTTCCTTCTAGTGCCTTCTGTAGGGCTGGATTTGTGGATAGATATTGTTTAAATTTGACTTTATCATGGAATGTATTATTTCCCCCATCTATGGTGATTGGAAGTTTTTCTGGGTATAGTAGTCTGGACTGACATCTGTGGTCTCCTGGAGTCCATGGGACATCTGTCTTGGCCCTTCTAGCTCTTAGAATCTCCATTGAGAAGTCAGGATAATACTAATAGCTCTGCCTTTATATGTTACTTGGCCTTTTTCCCTTGCAGCTTTTAATACTCTTTCTTTGTTCTGTATGTTTAGTGTTTTGATTAGTATGCAATGAGGGGCCTTTCTATTCTGGTCCAATTTGTTGTCTTCTGTATGCTTCTTGTACCTTTATAAGTACATAGGCATGTCCTTCTTCAGGTTAGGAAAATTTTCTTATATGATTTTGTAAAAATATTTTCTGGGCCTTTGAGCTGGGATTCTTCTTCTATTCCTACTATTCTTAGGTTTAGTCTTTTCATAGTGTCCCAGATTTCCTGGATGTTTTAGGTCAGGAATTTTTTAGATTTAACATTTTCTTTGACTGATGTATCTATTTTTTCTATGGTATCTTCAATGCCCAAGATTCTCTCTTCCATCTCTTGTATTCTGTTGGTGATGTTTGCTGTAGTGATGATGTCTGTAGTTCCTGTTCACTTACCTAGATTTTCCATTTCCAGAATTCCCTGTTTGTATTGTCTTTATTGCTTCTATTTCCAGTTTCAGGTCTTAAACAGTTTTATTCATTTCCTTCAACTGTTAGTTTTTTCTTGGCTTTCCTCAAATAATTTATTCACTTTTATCCAAATTTTTGTCTTTTCCTCCATGTTTAAAGGGATTTATTAATTTCCTCTTTAAGGACCTTTATCATCTTCATAAAGTTGGTTTTAAGATTGTTTCCTTATGTTTCAGCTGTGTTGGAATATTCAAGCTTGCTGTAGTAGGATAGCTGGGCTGTGGTGGTGACATATTGCCCCAGCTGTTGTCAATTGTATTCTTACACTGGCATCTAGGCATCTTGATCTGAGGTGTTTATAGGTCTAGGTGCCAATTTCCCAGTTTGCCTTTGTTGGATGGCTGTTTTCTTCCCTTGGTTTCTGTTTCCTCTCTGGTCTTCTTGCAGGAGTGTCCTGGGGTTGAGTAGGTCAGTCTCCACCCAAGCTGGAGGCTGGACTTCAGGTGACTGGGGTGGCCTCTGGTCAAGCAGGGAGTTTCCACCTAAATTGGGGGCTAAAGTTCTGGCAGCCGATATGTCCTTTAGTCCAGCCGAGGGTCCTCTGGGAGTCAGGATGTTGTAACAAGGAGAGGAGGGCTGATTGGGGGTGGGCTGGGCAGGGACTGAGAGAGTTGGCGGAGGGCATTTACGTGGGGTTCTGGCTGCCGGCTTAGCCTCTGGTAGAGCAAGGGCTTCCATTGGAGTTGTGGGCTTCCATTGGAGTTATAGGAAGAAATGCCTATTTAACTTATTTGTGCTGTTGGGTTTATATATATGGAGTTACAGACTGTGTTTACTTGTTACAGGTTGATGAAAGTCCTCGAAGTTTGATGACAGACTGTCTGGTTATAAAGCATTTTTTACGAAAAATCATCATAGTTCATCACAAGGTGAAGTTGTTCATTCTTTAAATAGAATCAATTTATCTATAGTTTCTTTAAAACAAAAACAAAACAAGAACCTCACTGAGGAGCCCTGACTGGTCTAGATCTTGTTATGTAGACCAGGCTGGCCTAGAACTCAAAAGTCTGCCTGCCTCTGCCTCCTGAATATGGAATCAAAGGTATGCACCCCCATGCTGGGCTCACCTTGGTTTAATTTTGGTAGATCATGAGCTTTAGGTTTTCTAGTTTAGAAGAACATACTTTTTTTTAAGATAAGACCTAATAATTCTCTAAATTGCATAGGCATTTGTTGTAATAGTTCCCTTTTTAATCTCTAGTTTTATTCATTTGAGTCTTCTCTGTAGCCAGAAGTTTTCCTGTGTCCTGTAGCTACTCAATCCCAAATAAACACACAGAGGCTTATATTAATTACAAACTGTTTGGTCTATGGCTCAGGCTATTGCTTACTAGCTCTTTTATCTTAAATTAACCCATTTCTATTTATATATTTCCATGTGTCTCGTGGCTTTACCTGTGTTCCATTACATCTTGCTCCCCCAGTGGCCCACAGTGTCTTCCCTTACTCTGCCTTTCTTCTCCCTATATCTTTGCTTGGATTTCCTGCCTGGCTATAACATGTCTTGCCATAGGCCAGACCAGCTTCTTTATTAACCATGGTAGCAACACATATTCACAGCATACAGAAAGACCATCCCACAGCATTTCCCCCTTTTCTGTCTAATCAAAAAGGAAGGTTTTCATTTTAACATAGTAAAACTACATATAACAAAACATTATCAAGTAAGAATTATAGTTACAATATCTATTCTATTTGTGTTTGGCAAATTTAAATAAAATATTCTATCGTCATCCTATTTTGTGAGTCTAAAGTTTTATATCTAATTTATCTTTTATCATGACTAAGGAAAACTATAATTATAACTATCTAGTCTTTAACTCCATCAAAGACCCCAGAAGGATACAATATTATCTGAGTAAATAGAAGTTAATTGCAAGCAACTTCCACCTTTCTAGAAATGACAGAGACAGCTGGCTGTCTGGACAGTCATCCAAAGTCCTTTTGTAACATTGGGCATCCATCTTCAGCCTACATTCCCACCTACACTTCTCTGTTGGCTAGTTTGGCTAGGGCTTTATGTCTTGTTTATCTTCTCAAAGACCCAACTGTGAGGATTTTTTGTTTTCATGTAGTTAGTGTCTACCCTGATCATAAGTGACTTCTTTCCTTCTGTTGACGCGGAGCTTGTTCTTTCTCTCCTTGTGTAAGGTGTTTGTCACTTGAGATTGCTCCTGATTTCTTTTCTTTTCTTTTTTTTTTTTTGGTTTTGGTTTTGGTTTTTCGAGACAGGGTTTCTCTGTGTAGCTTTGCGCCTTTCCTGGAACTCACTTGGTAGCCCAGGCTGGCCTCGAACTCACAGAGATCCGCCTGGCTCTGCCTCCTGAGTGCTGGGATTAAAGGCGTGCGCCACCACCGCCCAGCTTTCTCACTAGTTTTTGTTTGAAGTCTGTTTAGTCAGATATTAGAGCAGCAACACCTGTTTGTTTCCTAAGTCCATTTACTTGGAGCACCTTTTCTGTCCTTCAACTTAAGGGTGTAGTATCTGTCTTTTGACATGGAGTTTTTGGAGCCAACAAGTAAATCTTTCCTAGTTTTTGACCCAATCTACTAGTCTTTTCCTTTTGGGGGGAAATTGAAGCCATTAATATTCAGAGTTATTAATGAGAGATGTGTATTGATTCCTGCCATTTCATTGATTTTGTAGTATTTGTTTTTCCTATTCTTCTATTGCTTAACTGTTATTCAGATGTGGTTTGTGTGTGCGTGTGTGTGCGTGTGTGCGTGTGTGCTGTGTGCGTGTGCGTGTGCGTGTGTGTGTGTGTGTGCGTGTGTGCTGTGTGTGTGCGTGTGTGTGTGTGTGTGTGTGTGCGTGTGTGCGTGTGTGCGTGTGTGTGTGTGTGTGCTGTGTGTGTGTGTGTGTGTGTGTGTGCTGTGTGCGTGCGCGTGCGTGTGCGTGTGTGTGTGCGTGTGTGTGTGTGTGTGCGTGTGTGTGTGCGTGCGTGTGCGTGTGTGTGTGCGTGTGTGCGTGTGTGTGTGTGTGTGCTGTGTGTGTGTGTGTGCTGTGTGCGTGTGTGTGTGTGTGCTGTGTGTGTGTGCGTGTGTGCGTGTGTGTGTGTGCGTGTGTGTGTGCGTGTGTGTGTGTGCGTGTGTGTGTGTGTGTGTGCGTGTGTGTGTGTGCGTGTGTGTGCGTACGTGTGTGTGTGTGCGTGTGTGTGTGTGCGTGTGTGTGTGTGTGTGCGTGTGTGTGTGTGCGTGTGTGTGCGTACGTGTGTGTGTGTGCGTGTGTGTGTGTGTGTGTGCTGTGTGTGTGTGTGCGTGTGTGTGTGTGTGTGTGTGTGTGTGCTGTGCGTGCGTGTGTGTGTGTGCGTGTGTGCGTGTGTGCGTGTGTGCGTGTGTGCGTGTGTGTGTGTGTGTGTGTGTGCGTGTGTGTGTGTGGCTGGCTGGCTGGCTGGCTGGCTGGCTGGCTGGCTGGCTGGCTATTTGATGGTATTCTCTTCTTCTTTTACCTCTGTCCTTGTTGAATTGTTCAGTTCCTCCACTTTGTCTTCAAGTGCAGATATTTTGTTCTCTCCACAACACATTATGTTGAAGAGACTTTCCAGAGTTCTTTTATTGGACTTACTATGGTTTTTTCTATCCAGTGTTTCGGCTTGTTTTCCTTCAGTGTTTCTTTTTGTGGAATTCCTCTTTTATGTCATCCATTGCTGTCCTTATTTCATTCCTCTGTGTCTTTGAGCACTTACAATCATTCTGTTTGGGATTTCATCTACCTCACTTTCCTTAGACAAAATTTTATAGGATTAGAAATTTTGGAGGCGTTATAGTGTCTTAGTCATTTCTGTTTCTTATGTTACTGCATTGAGGTTTATCATCTGGTGTTATTTCATTGCTTTTTTTTTTTTAATCAGCTATATTGCTTCAGTTAAAGAATTTCCAATTTTTAAGTAGGATTTGGATGTGATAGAGTTCAATATGTACTTCAGGGAATAATACCTAGTCCAGTAGCTCAGGGGTGCCTGGCATGAGTTCTATATTCTTAGGATATTAGCTGGAAGAGCAACCACAGCTCAGCTGCTTTATACTGCTGTGCAAATGCCATTCTAGCCAGTTAACAACAGTGGCCCCTTACTTCATAATTGGTAGAGATAAACAACCAAGAATAGTATGGATTCTACTCAGATTTTAGTCAATAAAATGAGTTGGGAGCAAGAGAGATTGCTCCATGGTTAAGCACACATTGTTTTCCCTCCCACTTCTAATCTTTTGTGAAACGGTGAGCAGTATGAGCTTTTGCAAGAGGACCTGAGTTCAGTTTCCAGCACTCATATCAAGTGGCTCCTAACTACCTGTAACCAGCCCCAGGGGATCTGACACCCTCTCTGGCCTCTGGTGTCACTGCACCAATATGAACATATACAAATCATTAAAAATTTTAAAGTCAATTTTCAAAAGATTATAAGTAGGAGAGAAGGAAAGTGGGAAAGGATCAGAATTAAGGATGAGACTTTGAAAATAGTTGATGTAGGTAAAGAAGCTGGGAGGGGGAAGTTGGGCTTGTAGATCTGGGAGATTACAGTTAAGATGTGCAATGAGAAGATAAGGGTGAGAGGAAGAGAAATAAGCGGGGGTCGGCATAAGAGATGCAGGTGAAGAGCATAGTAAAGTATGCCTCGGGGTAAACTGATTGAGACCCATGAACAGTCCTGAAACCAAACTGAACAATACAAACAAGAGCAAAACCATCCCGAGACATACATGCAAGTGTGAGAAATAACAGAAAGTAAGAAATAAGAGTCTGTGGAGTGAATTGCTTGCACAACTGTGCTGAGTTGAAAATGAAGTTCTCAGATTCCCTCTGACTCTCGAAGGTTCTGTGTAGTGCTGTGGGGACTTTGGTCGCCAAAGCTTCAGTGTTAGTGGGTTCTGGCCTGTGGGGGAGGGGAGGTTTTCAATCCTTTTCTGGTGGTTCCCTGGGATCCCTGCACTCCACTGAGGCCTATTTTGGTCCTGCAGGTTGGGTGTGGGAACAGCAACACTTCTCTTGTAGCTTCTACTACTCTGTGTGTGGATGTTTTTTTTTAAATCGCTGTCCTGACTAGTATGAAATCTTACCCTTCATTTGTTGTTTTGCAGCTCAAGTTTAATTTCAGTTTAACGGTGAATGGGATCCATTCTGCAGAGATCTTTGGGTCTGTAAATGATTTTATCCCTTTGAATGATTTTTAAGCATGATTGCCCTGTGTTTACAACAGGTTTACAGTTTGATTTCTTAGTCCAAAAACTCTTTGAAACTAATCCTGAAACCCTCACATTTTCTTATTCTATATTAGCTTTTAACAAATAAATATGTTCCTCCTAACCTTACATGTTTCTCCCTTTCACTGAGGGGAATGGGCTTAAAAGTTGTGGTTTTCTGCCGGGCGGTGGTGGCGCACGCCTTTAATCCCAGCACTTGGGAGGCAGAGGCAGGTGGATCTTTGTGAGTTCGAGGCCAGCCTGGTCCAGAGAGTGAGATCCAGGAAAGGCGCAAAGCTGCACAGAGAAACCCTGTCTCGAAAAACCTAAAAAAAAAAAAAAAGTTGTGGTTTTCCTTTTGGTTTTTGGTTGCTGAATTCCAGTGATCTCTGGGTGGTAGTAGTCATGAGCCAACTAGAGACTGATTGGAGAGTTGACTTTGTTTTGTTTTGCAGGGCAGAAAACGAACCGACTTTGAGACTGTCCAATGGCATCACGCTTGCTGTGGGCTTTCAGCATTATGTGAGGTAGAAGCTAGAAATGGCCTCCTTGCCTTTTCCTTTCCTCTTCTCTCCCTTTCTCCTCCCCTCCAATCCCCCTCCTCTCTTCTTTTCTTGTATTTCTTTTGTTTAGAAGAGACCTGTGTGCCTGTGGGGGGAACAAATCAACTACCTTCTTTGTTGGAGAGGATGAGAGCCTAATTCTTCTCATTGTTCATACCTGACAGTAGCCTCTGACCTACACAGGAAAGTAGTGTGCCCAGAAGCAGATTCTGAGGTGTCACGGGGCCAGTGTTAGGCCATTTGCTCACAGTTGTCACACACAATACTGATCTTTGAATGATTTTGCAAACATATGCTTAGAACCATAGAGTATAATTGTAATGGAGAAAATACGATTTGAGGACAAAAACTATCATGAGAGACAACAAAAGCAGGAGCCATGATATAGTCTTTGGAATGCCAATTTCTCTGATCTTATGCAGATAAGATAATGTGGTGGGCCATATGGCTATGTGTATACTGAGCAGTTAAGGAATATTAAATAATTTCTTGAAGAAAAAAGTCAAATTTGTCTTGTATGTTTTTTAATAGTAAGCCAAAGTTGAGTTCCAGTGGGTCACACTGCAGCAGAATCCACCCTGTGCTCGGACATCCAGCAGTGCTGTCCGTCCCTGACAGCATGGCCGACATGGGCTCGGTGGGCAGACTGACACTGACTCCAGTTGCTGCTCTGTGCCCCAGCCCCAAGGGCTTCTCCAGCCAACTGAACAGGATTTCTTCAGTTTCCATATCCTTTGGACAGGTTCTATCCAATTGCCTTTGAAGATGAGTTTTTAATTCTAATTTTAGGCAAGTCTTTATATATGAGTTATGTATCTGTAACCCTGTATGACTGTATAAAAGTATAACCCAGTGTGAATGCTAGGCTTGCAGTATTTGAATACTGAATACAACAACAGATAGTGAAAGGCAGAGATGACACCAGAAAAAAATGGTTGGAGTCTAATGTGTTGGGTCTTGTATTCCTTACTAAGTAATGTGACCTGCGTTCTCTATGGTGGGAAAACACTGAAGGATTTGGCAAGAGCCTGTTCAGAGTGCTGTAGGAGAAAAGTAGTGATTACCAAGCAAGTGAGTGAAGTGGAATAAGAGCCAGTAAGTCCTGAGTTCACACTACGTGTGTAGAAAGGCAAGAGTTAACGCTTGAAGAACTTAATGTAAGGAAACCAGTGTTCAATACTGAAGTTGAGAGCCTGGAGCAGGAGTGGTTTTGTTTATTTGTTTGTTTTTAAGATGGGATCTCTTATATGCCAGGCTGGATTCAAACTCACTAGCTTTGGATTCCCTTAGACTTACAATCCTCTGCCTCCATCTCCCAAGTGCTAGGATTATAGATGTGAGCCACCACCCCTGGTTTATCCCATGAGTAAATGTTCTATAGTGTCTTGTTGAGACTGGGACATGGGGGTGTCAATGCTGTTCCCTAGAAGCAACTGGTTTAACCAGCCTAGCTCTTGCTTCCTCAGCTTTAAAGTAAAGATGAAAGTATCTCGTGGATTGATTTTTCTCCTGCAATGATGGAGAACTATAATCCATATGAAGCTCCTCACACAGGAATGTCCATCTCATGACTGTAATGTCATGTGGCCCAGGATAGCTATGAATGTGGCCTAGCACAAAGTTGTAAACTTACTTAAAACATCATGAGTTTTAAGTTTTTGTTTTTGTAAAATGGGAATTTTGTAGATGACCACATCATGTTGCAATACCACACAAAATAAACGTGTGTGTGTGTGTGTGTGTGTGTGTGTGTGTGTGTGTGTGTGTGTGTGTGTGTTGTATAGGCATGAATGGCTTCAATTTTGTGGTGGTGTGCAGCTTCCCAGGTTACCTTCCATGTGCAGATAGTCAAATTGGCACCATCAGACATTATATGCTTTCAGTGACTTGACAAGTGAAATATTGTCAATATATACGTATTTTTTGAGACAAGGTTTCTCTATGTAGCTTAGGCTGTCCTGGAACTTGTTCTGTAGACTAGGCTGGCCTTTAACTCACAGAGATCCACCTGCCTCTTCTTCCCAAGTGCCGGGATTAGAGGTGTACATCACCACCACCAGGACTGATTAACAATAATATTTTAACTTATCATTGCAAACCATAGGTGTTTAATGTTATTCACAAAGCAGGTAAATGTTTTTGATTTTTCCTCGCCTCCTTTGTGCCTCGCCAGTCTCCCACCGTGCTTTACAGTCAGCCCTTTGTTTCTCACTTCATTGACGATCCAGACATAAATCCAAACACTTATGGACACCTGATTTTTGACAAATACGCCAATATTATACAATGGAAAAAAGAAAGCATTTTCAACAATGGTGCTGGTCTAACTGGATGTTGGCATGTAGAAGAATGCAAACTGATCCATATTTATCACCCTGCATAAAACTCAAGTCCAAGTGGATCAAAGACCTCAACATAAATCCAGATACACTGAACCTGTTAGAAGAGAAAGGGGGAAATAATCTCGAACATATTGGCACAGGAGACAGCTTCCTGAACAGAACACCAATAGCATAGGCACAAAGGTTGAAATTAATAAATGGGACCTCATGAAATTGAAAAGTTTCTGTAAGGCAAAGGACACATCAATAAGCAGCTGAGATGTGGAAAGACCTAAGCTTTGCTGTCTGTTTTCCTATCAGCTAATTTTCATGATAAAAGTAAATGCTGTCCTTTCTCCATTACCATTATTTTAATCCCAGTGTGACCTCCTCAATGACCCTAGAAAACAGAACCCCAAAATTATGAGTGAAAAAATTGTTCAACCCAAAGTAGATGACCACTCTTTTGTCAAGCCAAATAATAAGGTTGTTATATAACACATTGTGTAGAACAGTGTTCTAAAGAGAAAACTTAGATTGCCTTGCCAGACTGCCAGAGAGAATCTCTAGGCTGTGGAGCAAGCAGGGACACTCACCTAGAGTCTGGTGGATCTGAGATGAGATGATTTGAGAGCCAGGAAGCTAGAACTTATAAGAAAATGGAAGAGAAATGCACAGATTCAGAGCTCCATAGGCCAGAGCTGGCCCACACAAAGCCAAGACAGTTTCCATCCCTATCAGGCTAAATGGAAAAATTCATATTTCATGGCATCAGATTGGAGTTTTCCGAATAATGGGTGGATCCTTGGGGCTCACTAGCTGTCCAGCCTCACTTAATTGACAAATTTGAGGCAAGAGAGACACCGTCTCAAAATAGGATGGATGGTATCTGAAGAAGGACAGCCAAGTTGTCCTCTGACCTCCACATGCACACACAAACACACAAAGTGAAGACGACAAGGGCTGGTACCGAGGGTTTATTCCTATAATTCCAGAACATGGGATCCTGAAGCTGGAAAATGCCTGGGATACAGGTGAGAACCTCCCCCCAGAACCCTCCCGCCTCCGAACAAAAACCAATGAATTCAAGGTTAAGACTTTTTCAGGCATTCAAAAGAGTCAAGAATTCACTAACAAGCAGTATTATAAAAATGCTTAAGGAAATCCTTTAAAATTTGTATTTTTTAGCTGGGTGGTGGTGATGTATACCTTTGATCCCAGCACTCAGGAGGCGGAGGTGGGCAGATCTCTGTGAGTTCTAGGCCAGCACAGAATAAATTCCAGGATAGCCTGTGCTACACAGAGAAACCCTGTCTCGAAAAACCAAAAGACAAAGTACTCTTTGACAATTTCATGCATGTATATAATATATCTTGGTCCTCCTCCAAATCTTACTTGACAACAATAACGTGAGCCAATCAGGAAGAAATGGAAGTGTATTGTTGGATTCTTCTATATATGTCAACTGTTGACTCCTGTTAAAATTTTAAAGCCTAGCCAGGCGGTGGTGGCGCACGCCTTTAATCCCAGCACTTGGGAGGCAGAGCCAGGCGGATCTCTGTGAGTTCAAGGCCAGCCTGGTCTCCAAAGCGAGTTCCATGAAAGTTGCAAAGCTACACAGAGAAACCCTGTCTCGAAAAACCAAAAAAAAAAAAAAAATTTAAAGCCTAAAGCAATGAGTCATAACTAATGTGTCAAAACAGAGATAGAATACTCAATCCAAAATAGAGTCCAAAAATAGTAAAGAGAACAAATGGAAAACATATAACAAGGGGATTTAATACCATGGCTGTATTCATATTAAATGTAAATGGTTTTAAGTGTCCAATTAAGGGCTAGTAATATAGTTCAGTCGGTAGAGTGCTTAACTAGTGTGCTCAGAGCCCTGCATTTGGACTTCCGTACTACATAAACTGAGCATACCTGTAATCTCAGCACTCAGGAGGTGAATACAGGATCAAAAGTTCAAGGCCATCCTTGGCTACATACATAGCTTGAAGCCAGCCTAGCTACATGAAACCCTACCTTAAAGGAAGGTAGGGCTTGAGAGATGGCTTAGTGGTTAAGAACACTGGCAGTTTTTCCAGAGTTCAATTCCCAGCTCCCACATAGCAGTGCACTACTGTCTGTAACTCCAGTTCCAGGGGACCTGATGCCCTTTCTGGCCTTTACAGGCACTTCATGCATGAGCCAAACAGCATGCAGACAAAACACCCATACAAATAAAATGAAAATGATTTTTAAAAGTAAAGCACCAGCTGAGCAGTGATGGTGCATGCCTCTAATCCCAGCTCTCAGGAGGTGGAGGCAGGCAGATTTCTGAGTTGAAGGCCAGCCTGGTCTACAGAACGAATTCTAGGACAGCTAGGGATATGCAGAAAACATACCCAATCATAAGACAACCATATGCTTGAATTCTAGACACTCTATTTTTTTAAATTCTTCACATTGTATGTGAAGCAACTCAAAGATCCTCTGACCCTGGACAATGAGTGTGGTGGCCTCAGTTCCTATGCTAATGCCTGCTGAGGCCTGTGAAGGAGACTTTGAGAGTTCAGCCTCCCTTTGTTCTGTTACTTTTTTTTTATTGTTCTAAGTTCTTTTTTTTTTTTTTTGATTGATTGACTTATTATGTATACAGTGTTCTGCCTGCATGTATGCTTGCAGGCCAGAAGAGGGCACCAGATCTCCTTATAGATGGTTGTGAGCCACCATGTGGTTGCTGGGAATTGAACTCAGGACCTCTGGAAGAGCAGCCAGTGCTCCTAACCTCTGAGCCATCTCTCCAGCCCGTTCTGTGACCTTCTAAAACATTTCGTTCTATAGTATATAAACAGCCCCTCCCCAACAAGGAAAATCTGCCTCCAGGTGTCAAGTGCTGATACATATTGAGAAACCCTATTCAGGGCATAAGCATAAGAAAGCAAAAGTTGCCGAGGTGGTGGTTTACGCCTTTAATCCCAGCACTTGGGAGACAGAGCCAGAGCCAGGTGGATCTCTGTGAGTTTGAGGTCAGCCTGATCTACAGAGCAAGATCTAGGGCAGGCCCCAAAACTACACAGAGAAACCCTGTCTCGAAAAACCAAAAAAAAAAAAAAAAAAAAAAAAAAAAAACAAAGCAAAACAAACAAAAAAACCAAACCAAACAAAACAAAAAGCTAATAGTCCAGAGAGGAGTGATTATTTCCAGGCCTTTGTCTTGGTGAGAAATAGGGTTGGATAAAGTAAGAGGAGGTTTCTCTCAATCCAAATGCACTCAATTCTTTTCTAGAAAATACCCCTTTATATGCAGTTCTACCCAAGCATGCACTACCTCATACTGAAATTTACTAGGTTTTAAGTGTCTACCATACTAAAATGTGGTAAAACTTGAGCACAGATACTGAATCTAGTTACTCATCTTCATACCTCCAGATCCTAGCATTGTGTTTAGCTTGTAGTGCCACTCAAATTTATGATCAGATGAATAAGATGAATCAATAAATTGTCACTCATTAATACCCTACAAAGGTGAGTCTGAGGATTCTGGTAGATCTCCCGTGCATCATACCTGTCTTTGTTGTGGGAAAGCTAAATATGCAATTGTATAGCATATGTGTATATTCCTGGGAGTGTGAGCAGGCCAGTATGTAAGTTTGTTTTATATGAGTACAGAGTTGTAAGAAAAGTTTGACAGTTTTCTTTAGCAGCTAAACATATTTCTGTATGGACCTTTGGGTCTACCTCTGATATCAGATCAGGAGCAGCCAAGTACCACTGTCTTCAGAGATACCTCTTATTTCATTGACTGGAAGAAACACAATTTGTTTATGGTACCCACTTTGGATCTCAATTTGGATACAGGTATGTATCTACATTTTGCACCAAAATTTAGAAACCCAGGGGGCTGGAGAGATGGCTCAGCGGTTAAGAGCACCAGCTGCTCTTCCAGAGGACCCAGGTTCAATTCCCAGCACCCACATGGCAGCTCACAGATGTCTGTAACTCCTGTTCCAGGGGATCTGATGCCCTCATACAGACATAACTGCAGGCAAAACACCAATGTGAATAAAATAAAAATAAATTATTTTTAAAAATTTAGAAACCCAAAGAATTAGAGAAATGAATATATAAGAAGATGTCTGTGAAAACAGGACCTAATAATATGTTGGTTGACAAGAGAATGGGGATCTGACCACATTTAAGAGTCCACTTAGAACAAGGCAGTGTGTCCCACACACAGCTCAGTGAGATCCTGCTTTGTCATGGAGTTGACACTTTCTCACTTCCGCTGGTACCTCTCTTTCTCATGCTTTTCCTAGGGCTCTTCTTGGACAAATGTTGTACTTTCATCTGTCAATTTGGAAGCTTTAGAACAGTAGATGAGGGAACAAAGACTCTTCTGTATGTGGAAGAGAAATGATTCCTATTTAAATGAGTGTTAGTGCACAGAAAACTACTTAGAAGAAATTAAATGCAACACAAATACCAGCTTTAATAACATTAAACCTAGAAAGCTGGCTGTGGTACTCATGTAGGGTCTAACCATGTTAATTTTGGGTAAGTTGTACTAAATGTTGAAAAGTTAGGACCAGCAAGATGGCTCAGAGGTACCTGCTATCAAGCCCTAACGACCTGAATTTTATCCCTGGGATCCACAAGGTAGAAGGAGAGATCTATCTTACAAGTTGTCTTCTGACTTCCACACATGCACCATGGCACATGGATGCACAAACACATACACATAAGACAGTTAGCATACTTATTAGAAAGTGAATGGTTAATGACTGGATCAATAAATACAACTGCAACCATGGTGAAGGTCTTGGAGGTTTACGGTTCTGAGTTTGAGTATTTGAGCCCTATGGAAAATGGCCAGTAGAGAAAGGGACGTTCTAGAATTTTCACTAGCATGAAAAGATTGCTGCATCTTGGGATAAGGCAGCATCTTGAGGGTATCTAAGAAATCAGCCTCCAGAGAAGGGTCCTTGTGTCCTTGAGAACACATCCCATCCCAGAGGGTGGGATGAGAGGAAGCATCCTTGGACAGTCTCTGGAAGTATGTAGTCTTAACAAGTAGAGTGTCATGGGTCTTGACTAGAAGGGAGACTTAACTGGATTTCTGGGATCTTACTTTTAAAAACAACTGAGATTGAATTTTATTGTAGCCCATGTTGGCCTCCAATTTGATGTGAAGCCAAGAATGACCTTGAACTTCTAATCCTTCTGCTTCTGCCTCTTAAGTGCTGGGTTACAGGCATGTGTCACTAGGCCTGACTTATACAGTGCTGGGGATGAACTCAGAGGTTCATGTATGCTAGGCAGCACTCTACCAACTGAGCTACAGCCCCAGCCTCATCATCTCTTTGCCCCTTTCTCTCATTCTTAGACTTTACTGGTTTCAATTGTTTCTACAGTTCACTGTGTCTTAACTTTGGTCAGTTAACTTTGTGAATGAATAAATACAGAAAACTCCCCTTGTTTCTCACATTCATTTCTTTTTTGCTATTTGAGACAGGGTCACACACTGTCTAATTGTATAGCCTAGGCTGTCCTCAACTTGCTGTAGTCCTCCCTGTACTGGTACTTGGTTTCCCAAGTACTAATATAGGTGCGTGCTGCTACACCATGCTCTCTCCTTCAGTTCTTAAAGGACAGAACTAGGATCCACAGGAGATACTTTCCACTGTGGATCTGGGTTTGGGACAACCCTTATGGAACCTTAAAGGGTGTGACTAGTACTTAGGAACACAGATTTTGAGTTGATCTGGCTAGATCTACCACTCAGTTCTACCATTCACAAGCTCATATTGGACAAAGCATTTAACCAGACTGTGCCTCTTTTCTCACTTGTAAAAGGTCATAACAATAGGTCTTACTTGAGTGTTATGAAGTCTAAATCTTGAGAAAGGACATACAAAGAATTTAACATGGCACCTGGCATGTAGCACAAGTTACCTGGACTATCATTACTCAAGTTTGATGCTGATCTCTGACTCTTACTAGCCACACCTACCTTAGAAAGGTCCACAGGAAGGGACTAGAGAAGGGACTAGTGAAGAGTAGTGTTTGCTGCTCTTGAGGAGGACTCAGATTCAGTTCTTAGCACCCACATGGTAGCTCACAACTGCCTGTCACTCCAGTTCCAAAGGATCTGACACCCTCTTCTGATCTCTACAGGCATTGTACATATGTGGTACATATGCATACATACAAGTAGAGTACTGATATATAAAATAAAATTTTTTAAAAAATTTGAGCTGGATAGATGGCTCTGAGGTTAAAAGCACTAGCTACTCTTCCAGAGGACCCGAGTTCAAATCCCAACACCCACATGGCAGCTCACAGCTGTCTGCAACTCTGGTTCCAGGGGACCTGACACCCTCACATCAATGCACAAAAAATAAAGTTAAATAAATTATTTTAAGAACAGTCCACAAGAAGGCCAGGTGTGGTGGTCCATACCATTAATCCCAACACTTTGGAGGCAGAGGTAGGTGAATACTCTGAGTTCAAACCCAGCCTGGTTTACATATCAAGTTTCAGGCCAACCAGCACTACATAGTGAGACCCTTTCTCAAAAAAAAAAAGTTACACAAGAAATAAATGAATTTATTATGTAATGCTTCCAAAGCAAGTGCACAAGGGTGCTATTTCCTTTGTATTTTACATACATGGCTATTTTAATGTTTTTCATATAACTCATTAGTATTTTGTTTCCACAATGTGGGTGGAGGAGCATATTCAAGAGAGGAACTGAGTGTTTGAATTTAGACCTAGTAGTTCCTTCTTGGTCAGGATAAGGTTCTGGTCACTTAGTGTCTAAGGGCTTACCTTACAAATTTCTCATCTTTTTATTTAGATTTGGTGCTTCCAGATGTGTGTTACCAAGTGGAATCCAGTGAGGGGAATCAGTCTCAGGTTATGGACTCACAGGGACCGGTTCTGCTACTTTTCCTATTTGTAGATTTCCACAGTGGATTCCCAGTCCAGCAAGTGGAGATCTGGGGTATGTGTAGAAAAATGCATCGGCCAGGTTGGGTGTGCCAAGTGCTAAGTGGATAAAGAAAGGGCTATATGCATAATGCATGTATCTGCCTAAATTGGGTATTTGTGTAATCTGTAAAGATTTATCAGCCGGCAGTGGTGCTGCACACCTTTATTCCCAGCACTGAGGAGGCAGAGCCAGGTGGCTCTCTGAGTTCAAGGCCAGCCTGGTCTACAGAGCGAGATCCAGGACAGGCACCAAAACTACACAGAGAAACCCTGTCTCGGGGGGGAAAAAAAGAATTATCACTGCCTTTCTAGATGGAGTCAAGGGAAGAAGCCTGTTTTTGTGTAAGTGCAGTTAGGGGTGCTTTGGCATGTGTCTATTAGGTGCACAGTAACCTGTTATCAGAAAGGTTCTCCTCCTTATGGGTAATGTGGTGCTTTTAGTTTGTGGGCCACAAAACAAATATCTGAATCACCTAGGTTTTTTGAAGATGTACAGCTTCCTGGGTCAAATTAATTTATTATTTTTGCTGTATATTATAAAAATCTAGAATGATTGAAACATATATTTCCATGACTTGATTCTCAAGTGATCCTCAGATGTGGTAAAATTTGGAAGCCTTTGCATGTTTTAATCACATGCTTTAATCCAAGGAGCCCCTGGGAAGTAAGGTGTTTTTTTTTTTTTAATGACTTATTTATTTGCGTTGATGAGTCTGTGAAAAGGTGCTGGGTCCCCTGGAACTGAAATTACGGACAGTTGTGAGCCGCTATGTGGGTGCTGGGGATTGAACCCAGGTCTTCTGGAAGAAAACAGCCAATGCTCTTAACCACTGAGCCATCTCTCCAGCCTCCTGGGAAGTAAGTTTTAAGAGTTGATAACACATTCCTAAACTGAGGAAAGTTACAAGAAATGGCACCGAGACATGCTTCAGGAAAGATCTGTACGCCTCCTTTCTCCGTGAGCTATGGCGGGCTCTGCCCTCGTTGTGTTCCTGTGGTGTGGTATTAGTTCCCACTGCATCATGGGTGAAGCAAGACTGCTTATAATGCAGTCAGAGTGCTGTCAGTGGTGCCGATTATATGTGGCTGTCAGATCTGAGATCGATTCTTCCTGCTGTCTGCCTGCCTTCCAAGCCTCTTCCTGCTTTCCTGGTGTGTGCACACCCTGAGGAGGAAGCACTGCTTTCCTGGGCTCAGGCTGTCAACTCTGAGATGGCAGTGTTCTTTGGTGCCCCTGCCTCATTGATTAAGAACAAGAGAATGGGAAAGAAAAGAGGCCTGGGTTTGTGAAGTTCGGGTGAGGGGAGTTTGGTGAGGATTCTGGGGTGTGTGCACACGCGGACAAACTGATGAGGGCCACAGTGGAGAGGACTTCCAGGTGGTTTACCTGTGCGCTCTGATTCCAGCTTCCTCAGAGACGTTTGAAAATCAAGTCACATAAATCATCTGAGCCTCCCTTTTCAATCTTTAACATGAGTTGTTAAACTAGGAGATATCAAAGGCCCTTCAGAGGCTAAATGCCCGCCCGAGACTTAAGATCTGTTACTTTCTGGCATTTTTAAAATGCTTGCCAGAGGATAATTTGAGTTTGACACCATGTTCCAAGTCCTATTGAACATACCCAAAGAACTCAGACGCTTTGAAAACAGTGTGAGTTATCATTTTTGTTGTACCGGGATAATTTATACACCTCTGTATAGCATATCTCTACAGGCTTGCAACTTCCCACTAGTTGTACTCAGTTTTAGATTTAAAAATTCACTGCTGCTAGGCAGTGGTGGCACACACTTTTACTCCAGCACTCGGGAGGGAGAGGCAGGCAGGTCTCCATGAGTTCAAGGCCAGCCTGGTCTGTAGAGTGAGTTCCAGGACAGCCAGGACTACACAGAGAGACCCTGTCTCGAAACAAGAACAACAGCAAAAAAAAAAAAAAAAAAAAAAAAAAAAAAAAAAAAAAAAAAAAAAAAAAAAAAAACCTTAAAAATTCACTGCTAAAAAACAATAATAAAATAAATAAAAATCCAGGTGTGCTGGCACAAGCTTTTTTGTTTTGTTTTATTATTATTTTCTTTTTTTTTTCAAGACAGGGTTTCTCTCTGTAGCCCTTGCTGTCCTGGAACTCACTCTGTAGACCAGGCTGGCCTTGAACTCAGAGATCTGCCTGCCACTGCTCCCCTACCCTAGTGTTAGGACTAAAGTTTTGCAATACCATCACCCAGTGTGTGGCATACATTTTTAATCCCAACATTTAGGAGACAAGCAGGCAGATCACTGAGTTTGAAGCCATCCTGCTCTACACAGCCAGTTCCAGGCTAGCCTGAGTTACATAGTGAGACCCTGTCTCAAAACGAAAATCACTGCTAGGGCTGAAGAGATAGCTTTGTGGTTAAGAGCAAGTACTGCTCTTGCAGAGGAGAGTTTGGGGAGAGTTTGGTCCCCAGCACCTGTGTAAAGTGGCTTATAACTGCCTGTGTCTCAAGTTCCAGGAGGGGGATCTGACACCCTCTTCTGGCCTCTGTGGGCACCTGGAGGCATGTGTGTATACATTTATGCATGCATGCATAGATATAGATAAACATGAAGTTTTGAATCTTAAGAAAATAATAAATGTTTAAAAACTGCTGCATAGTGACTAGAGCAGGTGTCTTAAAACCCTCTTCAGGAGACACGGGGAGAGACAGCAAGGGTGAGTTGACCTGTCTTTCCCCGACCTTCCTCACCTCCTTGAGTGCCTTCTCCAGAGCTCTGTGCTTTAGGCAACAGATTGTGCAGAATTAGTCTGTGTTCATGTGTCTTTAAAAAAAAATCAGTCGGCTGGCCTCCCGCCCACCTTGTCATGGTAACTTCTATGATTAACTCCTTATTTTGCCACAGTGCCAAAAGCATCTGGTGGTAGGAGCAGTTTTAGGAATAACTTTGTTTTTTTTTTTTTTTAAATTAAATGTCTGCCTTCAAAAACTTCTCGTTTTTCTTGGGTTCTTCTTGGGTCCAGAGTATATAAAATAGAATCCGCGTGTTCTGTCACCATAGCAACAGCAGTATTCCCCTTTGAACATTGCGTGTGTGTTTCAGAATACTTCATTTTACATGACCCCAGTTTATCTAGACAACATATCTGAGAGAACACATAAGAAAAGCTATTTTCTGCACAGAAGCGAGAAGAGTGAAGTTACCTCATCATCACTAGTTGGTGATAAAAATAAAAAATGACCTTTAATCTATGTTCACTTACTTCTAGTTCCAGATTCCTTTTAAGTCCACATATAACTTTCTCTCCCTGGAGAGCATTGTGGTGCCCTGTGATAGGAACTGTTCCTTCTTTTATTTTTTAAAAAAGTGTGTGTGTGTGTGTGTGTGTGTGTGTGTGTGTGTGTGTTGTGTATGAATGAATGTTTCACCTGTGTGTATGAATATATACCACATGGGTGCTTAGCATCCTTAGGCCAGAGGCCCAGAACAGGAGTCGGATCCCCTGGAACTGGAGTTACAGACAGTTGTGAGTCACCATGTAAGGTGCTGGGAATTGAACCTGGTCCTCTGTAAGAGCAAGTGCCCTTAACTACTGAGCCATCTCTCCAGCCCCACATGTTGGTTTCTGAGTGATGCTAGCAGAGGTGACTATGGTTACGTCATCTAATTTTTAATTAGTTTGAGCCAGGATCTTGTATATCCCCAGGCTGCCTCACACTCACTGGACAGCTGAGGATGCCCTTGAACTCCTTATCCTCCTGCCTCCACCTCCCAAGTGCTGGATTATAGGTGTGTGGAACTATGCCCAGTTTATGTGATGCTGGGGATCAAACCCAGGGCTATTTACAAGCTAGGCAAGTGCTCTCCCAACTGAACAACATCCAGCCCTTACCCCGTTTTATACATTTTTTTTATTTAAATCCTTTTTAAAGCTTTAGCCTTTCCTTTGCCACACTGGAAAGAGATGGCACACTGCTGACAGCGGCAGCTCACTTAAGGGTGATGCTCAAGAAGGACTGGGAGGTCAGACCTCCTGAGAGGCGGCTCCTTCTTGGAAGACACCATGCCACTGTTCATAGCATGGGTTAAGCATTTGTTTCTTCAAAAGCAATGTGACTCACTTTAATTTTCCTAAACTAAGCTTGCTTTTATTTGCAAATGGGAATTGAGAGGGGCTGTCTCTGAAAATCAGTTATTTGTGGAGAGGTGGAAGCAGCTTCTTCAGGAGGCATTACCCCAGCCCCAGTCCTAACACAGAGCATGTGGACAGCAGTCCTGAGCAGTGTCGCCCTCATTCATGGATCCCAACATTCTCATCCTTTTAGGACTCCATACTCTGCTCACAGCTCATCTCAGTGCCATCCTCTCAGAGAGCCGCAGCACAGTGCAAGACTCCATCCACTCAGCCGTGGACCAGGTCTTGGAGCGGCATCACCAGGCTGCCCAGGTAATAAACTACAAGGGGGAGTGTACAGTCTCCCTCCGTGTGTCTTCTATTCTGCGCCTTAGTGAGGTCCTAATGCTGCATCTGGACAGGGAGTTAAGCTTTCACTTAGGCCACAGTGACCAGTGTGTGCTTGAGCAGCGACAGAAATAACAAAAAGCAAACAAAAACCATGGCTACCATACCTCTTACTTTTTTTTTCTTCCAAGACAGGGTTTCTCTGTGTAGCCCTGGCTGTCCTGGAACTCACTCTGTAGACCAGGCTGGCCTCAAACTCACAGATCTGCCTGCCTCTCCTCCCAAGTGCTGGGATTATAAGCGTGTGTCACTGCATATTGATCCCACATATTCTCGAGCTATTTCAGTAAACCTTATCCTCGTTCCTCATTTTCCCAATTCTTTCATAATGTCCCACTTGCTTCTGCCCAGACTGAGTTCTTCCAATCTGTGCACTTTTGGTAATACATTTCCTACTTCCTATGCCTACCCTTTGTAGAAAAAAACAGCCAACTGAAGAGCAAAGTTTAAAACTAAAAACAACAAAAACAACCAACATTAAGTTGAGCTGAATCTGGTAGCTTCTATATGTAATCACAACACTTGGAAGATTGAGGCAGGATTACTGAAAGTTCAAGGCCAGGCTGAGTTACAGAATGATTTCTAGGCCAGCTTAGGCTATAGTTGTTAGTTTTATGCAGCAGCGCAGTGTTATTCATTAAGTGGCGCTGTTTCCCGTGAGAGAAAAGCCACGAGGCACAACAAAACCCACTATGAGAATTTATTAAGAGAAGCAAGGGGACAGGAGAGAGTGTGCTCAGGCCTGTTTGAGAGACATGTGCGGAGAGAGAGGAAGGAGGAGAAGTGGGGGAGGAGTCTGTGACCTGCTTTTTATGGATTCCCCTGCACCTGCGCATATGGGCTCAGATAGCTACACCACTCATGTGCATAGATTGTGTGATCACTCAGCACACAGATTACATAGGACATAAGGACCCTTGCTTGGCTACTGAAAAGCGCATGTGCAGTCATGTAGCAACAGTAGTGTGAAACCCTGCCACAAAGGGGCCAGTGAGATGACTCTGTGGTCAAAGCACTTGCCACACAACCCTGACCAACTGCATTTGATCCCAGAGACTCATAAAGGTGGAGTGAGAGAACCAGCTGGGTGGAGTTGTTCTTTGACCCCTACACGTGCACCGTGACATGTGCAACCTACACATCCGTGCACTCAAGCAATAAGTTTAAAGCAAAAAATTAAATATTTGTTTTATTTTGTTTGCTTTTTTTAAGATTTATTTTTAGATCTGGAAAGGTGGCTCAGCAGTTAAGAGCACTGACTGCTCTTCCAGAGGACCTGGTTTAATTCCCAGCACCCACAAGGCAGCTCACAACTGTCTGTAACTCCAGTTCCAGGGGATCTGGTGCCTTCTTCTGGCCTCTGCTGGCACCAGGCACACATGTGGTACACAAATATTCATGTAAAACACCCATATACATAAAAATAAAAGTCGGGTGTGCTGGACAGTGGTGGCACATGCCTTTAATCCCAGCCCTTGGGAGGCAGAGGCAGGTGGATCTCTGTGAGTTTGAGGCCAACCTTGTTTACAGAGTGAGTTTCAGGACAGCCAGGACTACACAGAGATACCAAAATCAAAATAAAAAAATTTTGTCTCGAAAAATTAAAAAAAAAAAAAAGTTGGGTGTGGTGGCACATACCTTTAATCCCAGGTGTCTGAAGCCAAGGCCAGTCTAGTCTATGTTGGTTTTAAATGTGGCACTTGTTATCATGCAAGAAAGGTCACAAGGCACAACACAACCCAGTATCAGAGCTTTATTGGGGGTGGGGAGACAAAAGAGAATGACCAGGCCTGTGAAAGACATGTGCAGGGAGAGAGAGAGGGGGGAGGAGTCTGTGACAGGCTTTTTAAAGGATTTCCCTGCACATGTGCATGTGGACTTACGGAGCTATGCCACACAGATTGCATGACCATGCTGAGCATGGATGACATAAGATGTAAGGCCCCTTACTTGGCTACTGAACTGCGCATGTGCGGTCATATAGCTGAAGGAGTGGCAGAATCCTAACAGTCTACCTAGTGAATTCCTAGCCTGCCAGGGCTACACAGTGAGACCCTGTCATAACACATAGAAACAAACATACAAAGTATTTTTACTATGTGTTTGTGTGTGGATAGGGGCCACTGGAGTTAGGTGGCTGTGAGCTGCCCGACAGGTGCTGGGAACCAAACCTCTGCAATATCAGTACTGCTCATAACCGCTGAGTCATCATCTCTCCAGTGCCAAATATCTGTTTCGTTGTTTTGTTTGTTTGGGAAACAAGGACTGGAATAGTCTAGGCTAGCTTCAATGGAAAATGACCTTGACCTTCTTTCTGAGCCCTGCCTCCACCTCCAGGGTGCTGGGGTTACAGGTGTGCTGATGTAGCACGAATCTTAAATGGTCTTATTAATAAAATCTAACCTGAGGCCAGTTATTGGGGTGAATGCTGGAAGGTCAGAGAAGCAGAACAAGCCACAGCTATCTCACTGGCCAATTCCTCAGCTGGTCTTGTTTCCTCAGCCTGGAGGCCTCTGAGTCCTCATCCAGAATGAATCTCAGCTGAACTGCTGTTAGAAGCCTGAAAGCTTAACCAGCCAAATGCTTCTAGTTCCTGGTTTTCACGCCTTATATATCTTTCTGCCTTCTGCCATCACTCCCTGGGATTAAAGGCTCACTCCCTGGGATTAAAGGCCTGTGTCATCATGCCTGGCTGTTTCCAGTGTGGCCTTGAACTCACAGAGATCCAGAGGGATTTCTCCTCTGGAATGCTAGGATTAAAGGTGCGAGTGCCAACATTTTCTAGCCTAAGTATCTAGTGGCTTTTCTGTTCTCTGATCCCAGATAAGTTTATTAGGGTACACAATATTTTGGGAAACACAATACCACCACATTTCCCCTTTTTTGTCTAAAATTTAAAAAAACTTATAATTAATACAAGAAAAACTATCCAATAAGTATATACAATATATACACAGTCAAGATTACATTAATGAGCCGGGTGGCGGCACACGCCTTTAATCCCAGCACTTGGGAGGCAGAGGCAGGCGGATCTCTGTGAGTTCGAGGCCAGCCTGGTCTCCAAAGCGAGTTCCAGGAAAGGCGCAAAGCTACACAGAGAAACCCTGTCTCGAAAAACCAAAAAAAAAAAAAAAAAACCAAAAAAAAAAAAAAAGATTACATTAACGATGTCTAGTCCATTAACATTTGACAGATTCAGATAAAAAACTCCATTATATATATTAACAATGTCCAGTCCAGTAACATTTGATAAACTCAGACAAAAATTTTCATTACTTGTCTTATGTAAAACAAATAGTTCCTTTTTAAAAGTAGATTCAGTTTTTATCTTATATCCATATTCTCTCTTTTTTATTTATTTATTTATTCTGTGCTGGTCCCAAGTCTCATGCATGCTAGGCAATCATTGTATCAACTGAGCTACATTCCCTGGTTCCTACCCAGTGTTTTATTGTCTTTTCTTAGTATGTCATATCACTATGCCATCTCTATGGAAGAGGATGTTTTGAATTGTAAAGTCCTTGTCACAACAGAAAACGTCATTATCTTGTTAGTATTGGTGATGGAACTGTTGATACTCTGCCTCGACTGCAGTCTTTGCCCCTTTGGCGTTCTCAGAGCCGGTGCTCTGGGACCAATATATTTCCTCCTTACTCCAGGCTCATCAGAGACTGCAGGGCTCCCTCTCTGTGGCTGTGAACTCCATCATGAGTGTGCTGACTGGAAGCACCTGCAGCAGCTTCAGGAAGACATGCCTCCAGGCTCTTGAGGTTAGCGGACGCAGATGGGGTCGACACCGCTGAGTGATACTGCAGCAGGCCTACAACCTGCATTACTGCAGCAGGCCTACAGCCTGCATTACTGCAGCAGGCCTACAACCTGCATTACTGCAGCAGGCCCACAACCTGCGGTGCTGCAGCAGGCCTACAGCCTGCATTACTGCAGCAGGCCTACAGTCTGCATTACTGCAGCAGGCCTACAGCCTGCAGTGCCAAGAGAAGCACCTGGAGTGTTCTCTACTTGGTACCAGCTTTGAGTGTTTTCAGGTATTTGTTGGGGCTGGAGGGACGGCTCAGCAGTTAAGAGCTGCTCTCCCACCAGACAGTGGTGGTGCCCGCCTTTAATCCCAGCACTCAGGAGGCAGAGGCAGGAGGATCTCTCTGAGGCCAGCCTGGGCTAGGACAGCCAGGCTACCTGCCTTGAAAAACCAAAATAAAAAAAGAGCTGCTCTCCCAGAAGACCTGGGTTCAATGCCCAGCTCCCATATGGCAGCTCATCACTATCTGTTTCAGGGCATCTGATGCCCTCCTCTGGCCTCTAGGCGCCAGGCACGCATGTGGTGCCCAGGCATACAGCAGGCAGAACACCTATGGTGGAGCACACCTTTAGTCGAAGCATTTGAGAGGCAGAGGCAGGCGGATCTGAGTTCAAGTGGTCCACAGAGCAAGTTCCAGGACAGCCAGGGCTATACAGAGAAACCCTGTCTCAAAACATAAATAATTAATTAAAAAAAGAAATTTGTTGAAGGATAGTGGTAAATATACCCTTTTTATAAATGAGAAAAGTTATACTCAGAGAGAGCTAGAATTAGACCCTTGATTCCCAGCTCAACCTTGTGGAAGAACGCTTCGCTACCTCACGGTGACACAATACACAGACATAACTGAGCAGACATAGTGCCATGTATATGTGACAGAATGGAGTGAGTGATGTAGTTTGGCACCAGAGTTTGGGGGTCAGTTGATCCTTGACTCGTTTACTTGCCACGTGGAGTTAGGCCTATATTTAACTTCTCTGAAATTTGTTTAAAAGTTGGGGGAAAAGCCGGGCGGTGGTGGCACACACCTTTAATCCCAGCACTCGGGAGGCAGAGCCAGGCGGATCTCTGTGAGTTTGAGGCCAGCCTGGTCTCCAAAGCGAGTTCCAGGAAAGGCGCAAAACTACACAGAGAAACCCTGTCTTGAAAAACCAAAAAAAAAAAAAAAAAAAAAAAAAAAAAAGTTGGGGGAAAATATGAGCCCCTCATAGGTTGGGGGTGAAATGTTGGTTACAGTCTGAATGTTTGTATCATTCCAAACTTCACATGTTGAAATCCTAACCCTCAACATGGTGGTCTTAGGCTACCATACCTAGCTCAAGATATTTTCACGTTTTTGGAGTTGTCAAGATATCTCAGGTAAAAACACCTGCTGCCAAACTTGATTGCATCTGAGTTTGATCCCTGGAGCCCATATAGTTGAAGAAAATGACTCTTGGAAGTTGTCCTCTGAACTTTACACGTGTACTCTGTGGTTGTACATGTACAGGTGTGCACTTGTACATGCTTGCATGCACATACACAAAGCAAATGTTTTTCTTTTTGAAATAGGGTCCATATAAAAAGTCCAGAACTCACTATGTAGACCAGGATGGCCTTGAACTCATAGATATCCTCCTGCTTCTCCCTCCCAAGTACTGGGATCAAAGGTGTGCAGCCTAAAGGAAACTTCTAAGAGTTGAGGTTGTGCTCCTCAGTTGGCTGTTTAGTTCTCTGAGGGGTGGTCATATGAATGGAATTATAACAGGCCCCAGACCTTAGCACAACTGACTCCATGGTGGAAGTACCATTCAGGCTATAAAACTCAGCACATAGACAGCACCACCTGTCAAAACTAAAGCAAAGACTTAATGAAAGACTTCGGGAACATCTCTCAAAGTACTAGCCTTGCTTTTTTAGCTTCTGTAGTTCTGCTTCTGACTAGCTGTTCCTGTTAACTGAAGTATGTCAGCCCAGAACATGGTTTGTGTGCCCACCCTGAAAAAGGCTCAGGGCTGCACTGGGATCCCGAACACCCAGTGCTGTCACCAGCCAGCTAATACAGACTTTCAATAGAAAGCTTACACCCATGTCTGAGCAGTCTTTTCTGGTGAGCACCCCACAACAGGATTAGTTTGTTTGGGTTTTTTTTTTTCTTTTTTCTTTTTTTGGTTGTTTTTTTGTAACCGAGTTTCTCTGTATGGCCCTGACTGGCACTCACTCCATAGACCAGACTGACCTTGAACTCACACAGATCCACCTTCTCCTGCCACTGGGATTAAAGGTGTGAGCCACCACTACCTGGCCAGGATTAGTTCTTAATTAAGTGGCCTCACAGCTGGTGAGATGGCCGTGGGTAGAGGCACTTGCTACCAAGCCTGACATGCTGACTTTGATCATCGGGAGCTACACGGTAGAGGGAGAAGACCAGCTCCCACAGGTTGTACTCTGTCCCCCACATGCACCATGGCACCCCATCCAGTAAATTTTGAAAAAGTCAAGTAGCTCCAGAGAAACCCTTGACCCTCTGCAGTGTGAGGACACAGGGAAAGACCCCAACTGTGCTGAGACCTGACCTTGGTCTCTAACACTGCTGTGCTAAAACGCTCTGACAGAAGCAACGTGAGAGAAGGGTTTACCTCAGCTTACAGTTCATCATGGAAGTCAGGACAGCGAGAGCTCGGAGCAGTTGATCACCCTGCATCTGTAGTCAGAGTAACAGTGTGCTGGCCAGTGTTTGGTCAACTTGACAGACGCTGGAGTCATCTGAGAGGAGGGAACCTCAACTGAGAAAACAGCAGCTCAGTAGGCAAGCCTGTGGGACATTTTCTCGATTAATGATTGATGTGATAGGATGGCGCTATCCCTGGGCAGGTGGTCTTGGGGTATATAAGAAAGTGGACTGAGCAAGCCATGGAAAGCCAGTAAAGCAGTGTTCCTCCGTGGCTTCCTCTTCAGTTCCTGCCTTGAGTTCCTACCCTGGCTTCCTCAGTGATGGGCTGTGACCTGAGAATTGTAAGATGAAACAGACTATCTCCTCCCCAAGTTGCTTTGGTCATGGTGTCTTACTACAGAAATAGAAACTCTAAGACACACAGCAGTGAATGTGTGGGTGCAGGCCACTACCCCACTCGCTTCCCCGTTTCATACAGTTCATGAAATCCTGATGAGGAACTAACAGTCCCACCTACAATTAAGAAGGGTTGCCGGGCGGTGGTGGCGCACGCCTTTAATCCCAGCATTCGGGAGGCAGAGGCAGGCGGATCTCTGTGAGTTCGAGGCCAGCCTGGGCTACCAAGTGAGTTCCAGGACAGGCTCCAAAGCTACAAAGAGAAGCCCTGTCTCGAAAAACCAAAAAAAAAAAAAAAAAAAAAAAAAAGGGGGGGGTCTTCCACATCATTTACTGTAATCGGGATAATCACTGGTCTGTCCAGAGGCCTTCCATCCAGGTGATTCTAAATTTTGTCAAGGTGACAATTAGCATTAATGGTCACCATCAGACACCCTGATCTCAGATAGCCAAGAGTGTGAGAAAGAAATCTGTAGCCTCTTAGTCTATGAAAGTTTGTTGTAGTGGCCGCGCAACTGAGACTGGAAATATAAACTGCGTGATGGGTTCTCAGTATGCGTTAGTTCCCTGTATTCCTTTGGGGTTATATGGTGACCAGTTGGGAGCAGATCACAGACTCCCTATTTGTCGATGCTGCCTTTTCCCCAAGACAAGCTTTGGCTGCTCGGGAACTCTGTGTAGATGAGCTGGTCTTGAACTCACAGAGCTCCACCTGCCTCTGCTTCCATGCCTGGCTGTTCCTTCATTTTTATGTGCTTTTTTTTCCTTAAAAGATAATATAACACATAGAAAAACTTAAATGCTAATATCTATCAATATAATTTTAATTTTTGCACATCTCATATTCATAGTTAAAACCAAGGAACTATATTTTTGTATATAAAATGGCATTTTACCAACTTCAAAAGGGTTAGAATTTCCTCTGGTTAATAAATAGTATACTTTATTACTTAATCTAATAATCCAGTCTTCTAATTTTGGGCGTTTAAGTTGGTAACATTTATTGCTGTATGTAAATAGTGCTTCAGTTAATACTGTATGTGATATCTTGTTTAATCTAAAATTGTTTCCTAGATTAAGTGCTTTGAACTAGTGGCACAAAGAATACTGCCTTTATAAGCAAGTGCCTTTGAGTCATGACTTCATCTTTGGGCTTGTGGGTGATGGGGTAAGAAGAAGTGGCCCTGGCTTTGTCCTACCTGATCTTGGGTGGTTCACTTTTTTTAATTTCAATTTCTTGTCTATAAAATTAATGTGTTAGGGGCTGGGAGAAATGGCTCAGCTGTTATAAAAGAACTTGCTGTTTTTCCACAGGACCCAAGTTTAGTTCCAAGTACCCACATCAGGTGGCTCACAAACATCCCCAGGGGAATCGATGCTTCTTCTAGCCTCTGCAGGATCCTGCACACACATGGCTTACAAACATGCAAACACACATAAAGATATTTTTTTTTAAATTAGTGTATGGTTTCAGGTGATTCCTCGTGTTCTTTAACTCTGATATCCTACAGTCCTGTATTAAAGCATCAAAGGCTGATCCATATGCCCTGGATACAGACTGTGTTCTCTGGTTCTCTTCTCTCCAGAAGGCTTGTCTTCTGAGGAAGACTTCCTACCTCTTCCTCAGCCTTACTGAGGAACTCCACAGCCTCAGTGGAATCACTGCTTTCTCGATCATCTTATGGAAGAGAATCTTTCACAACCCAGTCATGAGACAGAGGGATCTCTGGGATATTTATCTGCTGTAGACAGAGATCTTGGTTGAAGGATCTTGCTTAGGTGGGAGGACATATGGAAGCCACATACCAAGTATCTCGGGCCCTTCTCTGCCTCTCCATCTCCCATAGAGACAGAGCTGTAAATACAGAGAACGCCAGTCTCCTGCCTTCCTCGGCCTCTGCAGTGCCTTCCCTTTGGTTTCCAGTGGTGAATTCAGTACCTCCTATTTCTCATGAATTTCAGGCAGCTGACACACAGGAATTTGGGAACAAACTGCATAGAATATTTTATGATACCACCCAGCACCGACTTCGACACCACTGCTCATGTGACACAGAACAGGTAAGCGTAACAATAATACTCAGTATTCTAGTGGAAGTCTCCCGTTTTCATGTGGGAACCCTTAATTCAGGGTAGGTGAGTACAAATGCTTCAGATCGTATGGCTGGCCTTTTAGCAAAGATGCCTTGGCCCTGAGAAACGTTCCAGAACCAAGTGCTTTGTAGAAGCCGAGAGCATGGAGGACACTGAGTTCCATTTCTACCACTGAGTCATTGTTAGTGTCGTTAGAGATTTAACCTTTGTGAGCTTTGGTTTCTATGTCAGTAAAATGATAATAATGCATACCTGAAATCACTGTTGAGAAGTTTTGTTTAATAAAAATCTACCTTTAACAGAACTCCTTTCTGTGTGCGGGAGGTCTAGAGCAGTTGAAGTTGCTACTCTCAAGGAAGTGAGAGAACTCCGGCACCTTTGGGACAGTGTCCTCTAACAAGGAGAGATCCTAGCTAGACAGCTCTGTGTGCCTTCATTCCAGGTGTAGCTGGTAATAAGCTGTTCAACTAAAGTCACCTTTCTGGCTCGCCTTCCCTCCCTCCCCTTTTGGTTTTTCAGAACAGGTTTTTCTGTGTAGCCCTAGCTGTTCTGGAACTCCCTCTGTAGTCCAGGCTAGACTTGAACTTAGAGAGCTGCCTCCTGGGATTAAAGGTGTGCGCCATCACACCTGGAGCTGGTTTTTGTTTTGTTTTGTTTTATTTTTTGAGGTAAAGGTTTCTCTGTGTAACAGCCCTGGCTGTCTTGGAACTCACTCTGTAGACCAGGCTGGCCTCGAACTCACAGAGATCCGCCTGCCTCAGCCTCCCCAGTGCTGGGATTAAAGGCGTGTGCCACCACCACCCGGCTTCTCTTGACTTTTTTAAAAACTAAAATATAAGTTGAATAAGTAAAAGAGACTAAAGATTAAATCATTACACTGTCACTTCTGGGAGGGAGGGAGGGATTGTCAACATGGCTCCTTAACATCAGGCAATAAATAGAATGGTCATTTCTGAGAAATGGAAAGCAAAAAAAAGTTTTGAGAACAGGGTCTTACTATATAGCCTTGGCTGGCCTGGCACTCTATGTTGACCAGGCTGATCTTGAATTCATAGAGATCTGCCTGACTCTGCTTCTTGAGTGCTGGGATTAATGTTGTGTACCACCATATCCTATTGGGGAAATCTTTTTTTCTATTTTTTTGAGACAGAGTTTCTCTGTATAGCCCTGGCTGTCCTGGAGCTTGCTCTGTAGCACAGGGTGGCCGAACTCAGAGATGGCCTGCCTCTGCCTCGAGAGGCTGGGATTAAAGGCGTGCACCACCACTGCCCAGCTGGAAAAAAAATGTTTTTTATTCAAACAAAATGATGATTACCCCAGCATACCATCTAGAGAAGAGTATGGAGGCCATCAAGTAAGGGAGGCAGTCCAGGTAAAGCTTAGCAGTCTGCCTGAGGTAAACAACGGGGCTGGAAACCCATGGGTATTGCCATAGTCCATTTGACATTGCTATGGCAAAATATTTAAGAATAGGTGCCTTAAAACTCTGGTGGCTAGAGAGTATGGACAGCAAGGGCCAGCATCTAATGAGAAAGGAAGCAAGAGAATTGGAGGAGTTGAGGTTTTTATCAGCTCTGACGAGAGTCCACCATGCCCACACACATATATACACACGCATGAGCATGCACACACAGGAAAATATACACCACATTAACACAAAATAGAGCTAGAGAGGCTATTGTCAGCATCAGACAAAGTAAATTTCAGAGTGGAAAATATTATGTGGGATAAATAGGGTCCTTTCAGTGTCAGCAAGATGGCTCAGGTTCTTGCTGAGAAAGTCTGGAGAGCTGAGTGATTCCCAGAGCCCATGTAAAGAGCCCTACGTGGTAGTGTGTCTGTGATCTCAGCACTCCTGTGGCAAGCTGGGAGGTACAGGCAGGAGAATCGGCTGGGAGCTTGGGGTTCAGCTAGCCTGGAGTAGGACACAGCAGAGCAGAAACAGCAAGAGAGAGGCCCTGCTTCCAAAACAAGGCGGAAGAAGAAAACGCCCCATAAGGGAGACCTCCACATTCATATTGTGGCATGCACGTGCTCACACTCACATCACACACACATTCATAAAGAGGGTCATTTCATACGGATGAAATGTTTGTCCTGAAGACACTGTAGATGTACTCAACTTATAGTTGGATTACATTATAATGACCCATCATAAGTTAAAATCATCACAAGTAAAATTTCATTTAATACAGCTGACTATCATAACCCAGTCTAACTTAAATGTGTTCAGACACTTACAACAGCTTTCACCTGGGAAAAACCATCTAAACACAAGGCCAGTTTTACACAATAGCTCATGGAATATACTAAATGCTATACTGAAAGGGGGGGCAGGAAGTGGTGGCACACGCCTTTAATCCCAGCACTCAGGAGGCTGAGGCAGGTGGATCTCCGAGTTTGAGGCCAGCCTGGTCTACAGAGTGAGTTCCGGGACAGCCAGAGATACACAGAAAAACCCTGTCTTGAAAAACAAAAAAGAAAGAAAAAGAAAAAGAAGTGAGGGGGAGATCACAAGGCAACCTGAAGGTGTTTTCCCACCATTGTGAAGCCCATGGCAAACCACCGTAACCCAGGGGCTGTCTGTAGTCCCAAACATGCACAGACCTTTTAAGAAGGCTTTAAAACACAAGAAACAAAATGAAGAAACTCTAAGTACAAAGAGCTAAATCCAAACTATGCTTGGAGATTTTGACATACTTTTCTCAATAATTGATAGGACTGCCAGACAGGAAATCAGTAAGTCTGTATAAGACTTTAATAGTGCTATCAATCAATTTGACCTAATTGATGTTCATAAAAACACTTTGTCCAACCATGGAAGAATACAGTTCTTTTCATGTACATAGGATACATTCAGCAGGATAGAGCATATTCTAGCAATTAGATATTTCTAAATCAAAACAGTGCATATTCCAGCCATTAGATACTTCTAAATCAGAACAGTGCATATTCCAGCCATTAGATACTTCTAAATCAGAACGGTGCATATTCCAGCCATTAGATACTTCTAAATCAGAACAGTGCATATTCCAGCCATTAGATACTTCTAAATCAGAACAGTACATATTCCAGCCATTACATACTTCTGTATCAGATAAGATCATATTCCCAGCCATTAGCTATCTCTCGATATAAACTTATTAAAATCATACAAACGTTTTATATTGTTATTCTGTCTATTTATTTGTGTGATGTTTGTATGCTGTGGTACATATATGGAGATCAGGGGACAACTTGCAGAAGCTGTTCCTCCGTCCACCATGTGTGTTTCCGGGACTGAACTCAGATAGTCAGGCTTGGCAGCAAGTACCTTTACCCAGTGAACCATCTTGCTCTGAAGTTTGTGGTATGTGTGTGTTAACACTTATTTGTGACATTTGCCACAGTGCATATGTAGAAATCAGAGAGCTGACTTGCAGGAATCAGGGCCCTGCTACCACATGGGCTCCAGAGAGGGAACTCAGGCTGCCAGGCGTGCTGGCAAGCTCTTTACCCACTCAGCGACATCACCAGCCTCTAAGTATGTTTTGACCACATTAGAACTACTAAAATAAAACTAACGACGGAAAAACATCTAGAAGATTCTAAAGTGTTTGGAAAATAAATGATAAATGAGGTACAACATGAAGCAAAAAAAAAAGTTAGAAATATTTTAAGTGAAATGCAAATGAATGAAATTAACGGACTACAGCTAATGCTGTAATACCTAGAAGGAAAGAACAATCTCAACCCAGCAACCTTGCCTTCCAATGCTATTAACTAGACTGGGAAGAACAGGCTGCACACTGGAGGAAATGAAATAATAAAGAGCCAAGTGGAGATTAATATGACATAAAAAGAAAAACCCACTGAGACTAAAAGGTATACTGCACTGAGAATATTAATAAAGGCGTAACCAGGTAAACCAAAATAAAGAGAAGGCTCCATGTGTCACGCACACCTGTAATCCTAGTACTCAGGAGGGTGAGGCAGGAACACGGAATGTCTAAGGCAGGTCTGGACTATAGAGTGAATTCAAGACCAAATTGAGCTGCATAGCAAGAATGCCTTCTCTCGGATTTTTTTTTTTAACCATAAGATGCTACTATAAGAAATTAGAGATATGGCATCTGTTATTTTTTTAATTATCAGGAAGGAACAGCTATTTTGGCAGTACATTTGACATCAAATGATGAAATGGGCAGTTCATTAAGAGTAAGTACCCTTGTGACACAGGGTAACCCTATGGAAGAAATCATTTCTACTTGAAAAATAGCCATGGGCTCCAGAGTATATTTGAAGAGTTCTAGTGAACACACACTTAAAGTGCCCGTACAAAACACCTAAACTCCAAATAAATACATAAGCTCATTAGTAGTAGTATGAAAATTCAAATGAAAACCACAGATATTGAGAATAAAAAGACCACTGGGCATGGTGACGTGCGCCGGTAGCTTCAGCTCTGGCAGCTGAGGTAGGAGGATCATTTAGCCTAGGCCCAACCTGGGCAACATGGTGAAACCCTGTCTCAAAAGACGAGGAAGGGAAGGCCTGTGGAAGGCCATTTGGCAGTTTCTTTGGAAGTTACTTATATCCCCATCTGCCCTAGCTACCCCACTATGTCTCAGTGCTAGTGCATCCATGAGCACAGTACCTTTGTTTGCTGGAACCCCAAGCTGGGAACAATCTTGTGTCTAGAGGTTGGTGGCCAAGCAGCCTGATGTGTATCTCCATGGTGGAGCACTGCTCAACCATAACGGGAGAGCTCAATTCACACGTGATCCCTTGGAGCTGGAGCTGCATGTGGTCCTGCCCTCTCCAAGAGGCGCAAGCGCTCTTACCTGCTGCACTCTCTCCAGCCCCTCAAACTGTGTCACCGCTCACTTCCTAATCTTCTGAAAGAACAGGTCTTCAGCATGCCCTCTGCAGTTCTCCACTCTGTACCTCGGTCTGGCTGGCTGGACAGGGAACGTAGGTGCTCGGGCATGGAAGGATCTTGAGATTTCTTGGATTTGTCCCCCTTCCCTTCATTGGGGCTCGACAGCCCACACAGCATGCTCCCTTCACACCTTTCATCATACTTGTGTGCAGCCCTCAGCTGGCTCACTGCAAAGCTCACTGGTTTTCACCATGTTGGAGAGCTAATGGCCACACCTCAAGCATGTAAAGCTCATAACTACTGTATTCGTTTCCTAGCAATGCTGTAAGACAGCACCAGAAACTTACAACTTAAAAACATCATTTACTCTGTCAGTTCTGGAAGCCAGAAGTCCAAAGTCAAGGTGTGAGTGGGGCTGTGCTTCCTTCAGAAGCACTGGGAGAGAATCCTCTCTTTCTGATTACCTAGTTTGTGGCTTACATAACTCCAGTTTCTGCCTCCATCTTCACCGAGCCTTTTCCTACCCAACTGTTTCTCAGCTTTAGGAGGGCCTGCCCTGAATCCAGCAGGCAGTGTGGTCCTATCTCTGAATCCTTAATTAGATCTGTCAAGACCCTTTTTCCAAACAATCTCACATTCACAGGCACTTGGTGTTAGGGCGTGGACATGTAGGGAAGGGGCACAATCCAGGTCACTGCGACCAGGCACATCTTGAGAGTATCATGAGCCATCATCAGCACCCGGAAAGACCCCTCAGGGTCTAGGAGTGTGTCTGCCTCTGAGGAGCTTTTGCGTGGACCTCTCTGACATCCATCCCAGTGAGATCTCAAAGAATCTATCTGACCTCTTTACCCTGTCTGGCTCTAGTGATGGCCCGTTGCCTCAGGGCCATCCACAGCCCACTTAGCTTGGCAGATGGCTGGGGAACTCGAGGATCTTGGAAGAAAGGAGCATTTACAGGGTACCTAGTCTGTATTTCCACTTCAGTCTCCACAAAGATGTTCTGAGTTGGGTCTTTGTTTTCCATCTTATAGGTAACATAACTGTAAAACTTAAAACTTGCCAGTCACACAGCCAGCAGCTGGCAGGGCTTCAAGGCCTGGTCATTGTGCCTTTGTAGGACTGGGTGGCAAGTCCAGGGAAGAGCATACCTAGATCCTGTCATGACTTCTTCCCTGGAGTACCAGCCTCTTTGTGATAACTCACTGGTGGCACAACAGTGGCACCTAGTGGCTTCAGCCATAAACTGCATGATCAAGGCGCAGGTCAAATTCCTTCACTTGTGGGCCATCACTTTGTTTCCATGGTAACTAGCCAACGCACCTAATAGGGAATTAACCCATCTATAGTTGAAGGAGAAATAGGCAGTTCTCTAAGGAAAGGTGGCTTTCTAGGGTGCAGACTAGAATGCTCCACAGTGTTAAATCCAAGGAGCTGTATTTTGAGGACTAGCCTGCCTCTTGGGGCCCAGACATTGACGGGTATGCAAGGCTCTCACAGTGCTACCCACCTCAGGTGGATCATCCCTCCGTAAGATCAGTTTCTAAAAGGAGAAAGATGTGTCTGCTACACAAGATTTCCCAGGCTAGAGCAAACTGAAACTGCACTGTGTCTGGGGGCTATCTTTGTCCTTCGTGTGTTCCTGGGAATGTAATTATACAAGTTAGAACTGGTGTTAATAAACGATGTAGGAGCTGGACAGTGGTGGCGCACGCCTTTAATCCCAGCACTTGGGAGGCAGAGCCAGGCAGATCTCTGTGAGTTCGAGGCCAGCCTGGTCTACAGAGTGAGTTCCAGGACAGGCACCAAAACTACACAGAGAAACCCTGTCTCAAAAATAAAATAAAATAAAATAAAATAAAGAAATAAACAATGTCGGCCAGCTATGGTGGCACACACCTCTAAGGATGTGTGCATCTGAGGATTTTTGGTATATGGGGGGAGATCGTGGAACCCATCCCCAGAAATGATGAGCAGTGACTGTAACTGCATAGCTTCTATAACATAAAACATTTTAATGAGGATGCCAGGTATGGTTGGTAGTGCGCACTTTATACCCCAGCACTTGGGAGACAGAGGCTAGCCTGGCCTACATAGTGAGTCCCATGACAGCCAGAGCTGCGTAGTGAGACTGTTTCAAGGGGGGAGGAAGGGAGGGAAGCAGTGTATTAGAATGTACCTTACTGTCATGTAATTCTTAGCTAAGATTACCTTTTTGTTGTTGTTTTTTGAGATAGTTTCTCTGTGTAGCCCTGGCTGTCCTGGATCTCGCTCTGTAGACCAGGCTGGCCTCAAACTCAAGAGATCCACCTGCCTCTGCCTCCTGAGTGCTGGGATTAAAGGCATGCACCACCACTGCCTGGCTAAGATTTATTATTTATTTTAAAGCGTGCAACTTTAAAGGTGCTGTGTCCCCCCTTCCACCAAACTCCAGGACACCTCCATCCCACTGAAAACAAGCCTGTGCCCACTGAACTGCAGTTAGCCCCAGCCTCCCTCTCCCTCAAGCCTTAGCCCACTCTCTCCAGTTCTTGTTTTACTTTTCACTCTCCCCATGGTATTCTTTGAAGTAGATAGAAATTGCAGGTGGGGGTTTTGTTGTTGCTTTGGAGGCAGGGTCTCGTGCATCTAAGACCTTTATCTTTCTGTGGCCTTTCTCTTCCTATATAGCAAGGATGATCTTGAACTCATTCTGCCTCCATCTCCTGTGTGCTGGGATTATGTGTGTGTGCTACTGTGCTGCTTTCTGTAGTGCTGGGGTTGTACCTGGAGCTTTCATGCACCTTTTGAGCTATGTAAGGACTCGTTTTTCATCGTTTTTAAAGATTTCTTTTTAATTATGTATATATATGGAGAGACAGATGACCAGACATTCAAGGTCAGACCCTGTTCCTCCCCCCTCCAAAAAAAACTATTTATTTTAAAATAGACATGGCCAAGCATTATGATATACCCCTTTAATCCCAGCACTCAAGAAGCAAAGGCAGGAGGATCTCTGTGAGTCTGAGCCTAGCCTGATCTGCCCATCAATTCCTGACAGCCAGTACTACATAAAGAGGGGCTGGAGAAATGGCTGTGTTTAAGAGGGACCGTGCTGCTCTTGCAGCAGACTCATGTTTGGGTTCCAGCACTCACATCAGAAGCTCCCAAACATGTAACTCCAATTCCAGGGGCCCTGACGCCCTCTCTTGGCCTCGTTGACAAGTACATATGTCCACACGTAATTCACATAGGTACTCACAGATATGTAAAAATAAATCTTGAGTAGAAAGATGGACACATGCACGTAAAATGATGAACAGTGTCATACTTCAGAGCCTGAGACGAGGCAGACTGTCAGCAGGTATCTGAAGTTCAGGGAAGAACAGATATGCTGGGAATGGCTAGAGTGTGAGTTCCCAAGGGTCCACAGAAGCAGGATGCTTTGAAAGTTGGAGGCCAAGTAGAGACTGCTGAGTTAGGAGGAAGAGGGAGTTCCAGGTGAAGAACATCCTTATAAATCAATCAAGCCACCAGGCACACATGTCTCCTACGGCTCATTCAGACTTCTGTAAAACTCACTTGGAATTTCTAATTGTTAAAGCACCCGACTGCAGAGAAAAGGCATCCTGCCCAGAGTACCGAAGGCTGGCATGAGAATATCGGCTCCGAGTCTCTTGTAGGTAAGGCTCCAGGTTTTTGGGTGTGCCCTGGGCTGAAAGCAGAGAAGTAAAAACCATGGCTTGGAGAGGGCCAACTATCCTGCTGCACTTTGGCTATGCCGCCACCTGCTGGGACTGGTTGGGTCTTGGGCAGCAGCATGTATTCCTACTAGAAGTCTGTGCGTTGTACTTACTAGTGTGTGCACATTAGCTTTTTCTAAAGAAAGGTGCATTTGTTGGCCGACATTGCCAGGACCTGCTCAGGAGGAATGTGCCAAGGCAGACACTGTAAATTTGCACCCGAGTGGCAGGGGGTGTAGCTCAGTGGCAGAGTGCTTGCCTGTTTGACAAGACCTGAGTTTGACTCCTCTCCCCTTCCACAGATGGACCTGTTATGGATAAGCTAACAGTAGTTCTCAACCTTCCTAAAGCTGCAATGCAACCCTCATGTTGTGACCCCCCCACACCATAAAATTTTTATTGCTACTTCATAACTGTAATTTTGCTACTGTTATGAATCATAATTAAATACCTGATATGCAACCCCTGTGACAGGGCGGTTTGACCCAAAGGGGTTGTAACCCACAGGTTGAGAATCACTGTGCTAAATCGTGTTGACACGTGTCTGTAATCCCAGCGCTTGAGAGATAGAAGCTAGATGATCAGTTTAAGGCCAGCCTTGGTTACATGAGAGCCTGTTTAAATATCAACAACAAAAAGCTGCCTCTGTAGCAACTGCCTAGTACAATACCAGAGAGACTGAGGTGCTTTCTGCTCGAAGCAATCGGAGCTTGGAATTCATATTGCACACTCTGCAGAAAGTTGCAGATGCCCGCTATCAAGGTCCAGCTAAGAGGGGGAGGGAATGCTAACGGAAGGCCGGGCGCTGAAAGATTTCATCTGGAAGGATGGAATGGGAGAGCTCATTTAGAACTATGCCTCAAGACTCTCTGTAGCACTAGCACAAAGCTGCGGGAACAAGATGAAATGGACTTGTCCTCTCCTAGAGACCAGCGGGCAAGCAGAAAACAAGAAGCTCAAGAGAAGCCCCAACCAGGGCAAGGAAGAATCGCAAGCTCTCTGCCCCGCTAGGGATCTGAGCCCTCCAGAGTCCGCCACGGGTCACCACGAGCCCACCGTGGCCTCCCCAAATGCCAGAGGATCGCAGGCCCAAGCGGCCCACGGCAGGGTCCCCGCGGCTGACGCAGCGAGCCCCGCCGGCGGCCTGGAGGTACTATGGCGAGCGCGGGGTGGGTGCGGGCCTGGGCTGCTGCCGCTGGGTCCTCACCACTGTCTCCTCTGCTCCCGCAGGACTTGTGGCTGCAGGAGGTCTCCAATCTGTCCGAGTGGCTGAGTCCGGGGCGCAGGTTCTAATCGCCCGCCACTGAGGATCCCAGCGGGCCAAAGAAGCCCGGGACACGTGTGTCATGCCTTCTGGGGTTCAATAAAGCTGCTGCAAGCACAGCGTAGCGACTCCAGTGCAAAGGGAGGGGCGCCCCAGGGGAGCCGGCAGCTCGCGCCGCCGCCTGACGTCATCCACGCAGTCGCGTCACTGCTGTGCGCCACGGGTCCGGGCGTGATGGCGGCGCTGGGCGGGGACGGGCTGCGCCTACTGTCGGTGTCGCGGCCGGAGCGGCAGCCCGAGTCAGCCGCGCTGGGCCCCGGGCTGTGCTGCTGGGTGTCCGTGTTCTCCTGCTTCAGCCTCGCCTGCTCCTACGTGGGCAGCCTCTACGTGTGGAAGAGCGAGCTGCCCAGGTGCGGGGGCTGCGCGCGCCCCGAATCCGCGCCCCCGCGAGGCGGGGCTGTGGGCGGAGCTTGGGCCGGACGGGGTGAGACCGCATTAGCGAGTAGCTGCTAAAGGCCCCCTGGACTTACTGTTCCCTTCCTAGGGACCACCCTGCTGTCATCAAGCGGCGCTTCACCAGTGTCCTGGTGGTCTCCAGCCTGTCCCCTCTTTGCGTGCTGCTCTGGAGGGAACTCACTGGCATCCAGGTGCGAAGGAGGCGGGGCACAGGGCAATCAGGGAAAGAATCCAACGTTTTTTTGTGGGAGGGAACATCACTGATGCCCTTTTTCCTGTGGCTCAGCCAGGCACATCACTGCTCACCCTGATGGGCTTCAGGCTGGAGGGCATTTTCCCAGCAGCTCTGCTGCCCCTGCTGCTAACTATGGTGAGTCCTGCTTCATTTTTCCTGTTAGTTGTCGCTAGTGCAAAGCAATGCCCGTGTCCAGCCGTTGGCAGATGGCAGACAGGAGTTAGGATGTGGCCCTTGAGCTCCCTGGTGTGCATGGCTGGGAAACCTGAGGTCTCATGAGGCTGACCAAGGGCACTGGTGTGAGCAAGGTCATGGGACTGTGGTGAGTCATTCCTTTGATCTGTTTTTCTGCCCCCAGATCCTTTTCCTGGGTCCACTGATGCAGCTCTCTATGGATTGCCCGTGTGACCTGACAGATGGGCTGAAGGTTGTCCTGGGTGAGTCTTCAAGACTGAGAAAAAGGTAGGCACAGGCAGTCCAGGACACTGGGGGAAGGAGTCAGTGAGATGGTGTGATCTGGACTGAAGAGGTGAGATGTCACCTCTCTGGGTGTGTTTCAGTTGCTGGGTACCTTATAAATTTGATACTTAGGGAGGCCTCTCAGGACCCAGAACAGTACTTGATGTGGGTCCGACAGCACCTTCCCCTGCTTTTCCATCCTTTGGCTTCCCTAAAGACTGGCCTTGGTTAAGTTTTGGTGTCTCCAGAACTTACCATGCTTCCCTTCCTGTTGCAGTTATATCTGAAGACACTGTAATTAGGTCTGATAAGGTTTGCTCCCTTCCCCATTCTGATTCTCAGGATTCCTGACCTGAGTTTGACCAGAATAAATCTGTGGGGAGGGCCCCCGGGGGTGGGTCTCTGTTTCCAGTAACCAGGCACTCATTGCATTACTTATCCCGAATATTTGCCCTAGCCCCTCGTTCTTGGGCCCGCTGCCTCACAGACATGCGCTGGCTACGGAACCAAGTTATTGCACCCTTGACAGAGGAGCTGGTGTTCCGGGCTTGCATGCTGCCCATGTTAGCGCCATGCACAGGTCTGGGCCCTGCTGTGTTCACCTGCCCACTCTTTTTTGGAGTTGGTGAGTCTAACTGGTCCAGCAAAGATGTTCCCAGCATGAGGTCTAAAAATGGGGCTTGGGGTGAGGCGGGGAGCTAAATAGCCGGCCAGAGGAATACAGTGTGGTTTTCCTCTTCCTCCCAGCCCATTTTCATCACATTATTGAGCAGCTACGTTTCCGCCAAAGCAGTGTGGGGAGTATCTTCTTGTCTGCAGGTGAGCCTGGGGAGCTTGGCCGGGACAGTTGGGGGTTGGGGTGTGATATCCCTCACAACCACTCTAGAGAAAGGGCTGGAAACACAGGGCTCTAAGTATTGGATGGGGACTACTGATCGCTGGAGGTGGGGTACAGAGAACAGCCATAGATGGTGGCCAGGCAGCCACTGCCAAGGGGAAAGGGTGGTCTCTGGCTATGGGATGTGCAGTACTGGGGCAGGGGGGCGTGCATGTGTGGTCACTCGCGGCCTCCATCTCCAGCCTTCCAGTTCTCCTACACTGCTGTCTTTGGTGCTTACACGGCTTTCCTCTTCATCCGCACAGGTTGGTCCTCAGTTTTTCCTGGGTCTCCAGGGGCCCACAGATGTGGGTGGGAGAAGGGGAATACTGTGGATGTGACAGTTTGTTCTACCAGTCCTTGAGGCAGACTAAGCCAGGGCCCTCAGCCTTTAAGGTCTGAAGGGTGGAAGCAGAGGTCATGACATGGGGGCACATGAATGTGTGGAGTGGGGCGCCATTGAGTCCTGTTTAGGGGACAAGGGTCACTAACTCTCGGTGGGGCTGCTTCATACATTGCACATCTCCTGTCTCCAGGACACCTGATAGGGCCGGTTCTCTGCCACTCCTTCTGCAACTACATGGGCTTCCCTGCCGTGTGTGCAGCCCTGGAGCATCCACAGAAGTGGCCGCTGCTGGCAGGCTATGCTCTTGGTGTGGGACTCTTCCTGCTTCTGCTTCAGCCCCTGACGGACCCCAGGCTCTATGGCAGCCTTCCCCTTTGTGTGCTTTTGGAACGAACAGGAGCCTCAGAGACCCTGCTGTGCTCCTGACCATCACTCCTGTGCATACTCCAGTGAACTCTTGATGGGCTCTCCAGCCCCTCCTTATCAAGAAACACTGCAGAGGAGGGGCTGGCTGGGGTCCCCGAGATCTCAGGAATTTTTGTAGGGGATTGAAGCCAGAGCTAATTGAACCCCAGGGACCAAGAGAAAGGAGCCGATATCCAAAGGGTGCAGCCTCTCAAAGAGGGGTTGAGGAGCACCTGGACAGGAGGGGACAAGGACAGACCCTAGGAGCACTCCCTCTTTGGACTGCTGCTTCTCTTAGCTCTCCCCTCACCCCCTCCGAAAAGCTGCTCGGTGGGTTTATTTATAAAACCCCGTCTCCCAACTTCCCAGGGTTTTCTCACTGTCTTTTTGCATCAAGACTTTGTATTGGGATATTAAAGAGATTTAACTTGGGTAACATGGTCTTGAACCTTTGGGAATCCATGTACTTGGATCTTGGTGAGGACCCAAGCCAACGCTTGGGAGTATGTACACCCCCTCTCTTGGCTGCCTTGAACACTGCTGACCTGGGCAGGTGAGCCTGGCAAGCAAGTCCCAACAGCAAAGGATAGGGTGGAGCTTTTAGCTGCTCGTGTTCACTCTTTCCTGAGCTGTGGTTCAGTTAGTAGGTCCCAGGTGGAAACCCATCTCACTGTGGGGCCTTTGCTACCACAGCTCTGACCCCTGTGAGCTGGTGGAGGGTGGCTCCAGAGGACAAGACGACCCTTCTCCATCTCCCAGGAGTAGAGGCTTCTGGTTCTACCTGGACTGCTGCCCCTCGCCTCACCCAGGACAAAGGTCACAGCCCTGAGAATGGCAAAGACTTTTGTCAAGCACCACAGCACCTCAAGGTTCTTTAGGACCCCCAGTCTTCTACCTGCTCACCACACTCTACAGTGGTCCTTGTTTTCCTGGCTAGCCCTTTTTTCCTTTTGCTTTCTTTTTTAATTTGTGGATATCATTTTAAGTCTCCCATGTTCAAGGTTGTTCTGAAACTTGTTTCCTGAAGCTGGTGATTGAGGAGAGAAAATGGACATGTAGTCATTCCCCAGTGATCCCCACCCCACCCCCGTGTGGCTGTGACATAGCCACACTCATACAGCTGTGAAGGGAAGTATCAGTCACACACCTGCCTCCCTGCGGGGCTCTTCTCCAGCCTGTGTAGAAGAAGCTGGCGGTTGGGAGGTGAGGGTAGGTAGTACATTTAGATCTTGAGGTCCAGAGAGGATGCAGCCTAGGCCCCACTGACTGACTCTCCCCCAAAGCCATGTGCCAAGACCCTGAGAACACTGGGCAGAAAGGGGTCCACTTTCCTGAAATCCAGGAAGCTTTTTTTAAAAAAGGAAAACAGATTTGACCTAGATCTCATGAGAATTTGAGAGAATTCCACCCATACTGCCCTGGGTTGGAGACAGCACTAGGGACGGGGTAGACTGTATATGACCTAGTGTGGAGGGCAAGGGAAGGCCACTTTTATTGAGCAAATTTCCCCAGACCTATGAATTAGGTCTCCCCCTACCCCCAGAGGTAGAACCCCTAAACCACCTCCCCCAGGTCCCAAAGCCACCTGCTGCACACCTGTAGTCTCCACAAGGAGCAGACCCTTATTTGGCAAGAGATGAGTATGTGAGCAGCTGCCTGCCCATAAGGAAAGGACGAACGGTAAAGGGAACGGGCCACTGCAGGTAGTGTGTCCCACGGGACAGGACCTCAAGGGCCTGGCCTTCCTACTCTCAGGTCCTGGCTGGCCTGGGCCTGCCCTGGCTGCACAGCTCCTGTTGGGAGGTTTTGGGTAGGGTTGGCCAGGCTGCCAGTCGGAAGCAAGATCACTCTATCTCTAGGATGAGGTCATCGCCTTCCAGTGTCATGTCCTTGGTCACGTGAACCTTGCGGATAGTGCCCTCCACGGGCGAAGTCACCACAGTCTCCATCTTCATGGCACTGAGCACACACAGGGGTTGGCCCTTAACCACCTTGGCTCCTGCCTCCACCTTGATGTCTATGACCTTCCCAGGCATGGGGGCCCCAATCTGGCCCTTCACATCCTTCAGAGCCTTGGGGTGGAAGTGCATCTCCTGCAGACAGGACAGAGGTGACGTCAGACAGCAGGTCAGGCCCAGTCCCACTACCTGGCAGGCCCTGGGGCACTGTACCTTCATTGCCTGGGTGTCCTTAACCAGGATGGAGCGAAGCTGCCCGTTGAGTTCAAAAAACACCTGCCTCTGGCCAGCCCGGTTCAGGTCACTCACTGCCAGGGCCTTGATGTGCAGCGTCTTGCCCCGTTCCAGCTCCACCTGCAGAAATGGTAGCAGACCAGATTTGG